CTACCGATTTGTTTAGTTTTCAAATTGTTCTATTCCAATTTATATTTTCAGAGGTTAAAATGTACAAATTGACTCGTGACAAATTCATATTTTAAATATATAGTAAAATTCAAAAATGCATGAAAATTACCGGTAATGGATTGTACATTTTTTTTTCGGTCTGATAAGATTTCATCCCTCTCATTAAATGTAATAAACCTGTTTCTTAGGTTGTAGTCGTCATTTGTAAACGTTAATGCGTTATCATTTAATGTCGTACAAATTTGTTTTCTTATAAATAGATTACATCCTAAAACCTGAGTTATGTCTATTAACAAAAAAGTCCTCCAGCTATACACCTCCTCCAATTGCCATCAAAGTTCCGTTTTCTGTTTGTCGTTTCTTCGATGATTTAACCTTTATCGGTCGGAAAGTTCATTGAAAGAATGATGTCCGCAGTGGTTTCCTTTGATTTACTCTAGTATCAGGAGGTCCGCCTACCCCGGTTACCGCAGGTTGGGCGGGGGTATCGCATTATGACTCACGTAAACCCAACTTGTTTTTGTTTTCCTATGAATTATTACTGGGGAAATGTGCACGATTCGCTGTAACCCCCTCGTTACGTAGGATCTACCCCTCTTATCTTGGAGAGGAACTATTGACTCGCAGATACCAGTGTATTGTACGAGGATTTATTACCCTAAATTAGACTTTGGTTCCTTATGTAAAGATATAAAAACGCATCTCATTTAGATGGAATCTCATAATTAACTTACAGAATTGTTCAAGTCGAAATCTTTGTGTATTACATGTAGACCATTGAAAGATTTTCAGGGCTAAACGGGAAAGTTTTCCAGCGGACCAACCTTAGAACCATGTTAAAGTTTAGGATTGTCACATCATTAATTTTCAGTTTGGTCAGCATTTCGAATTCTTTGGAAGACAAAAAGGTGAGGTTTTACACTGAAGAACCTTTTAGCTAAATATCCACAAGATATTAAGTTCAAAAACGAAACATATTAAACTAACATTTAAATAAACAGATCATTGAAGAATTTGGCTTAAAATAAATTTTAGAAATGCACATGTACAGAATTTAAAAAAAAATTATATTATTATAATTTATGAGTGAGGAAACTTTGGGGTCATGTTCCAATATAAAATATAAATACGCTGGTATTTGTTGTAGATCGTTTAAATTTCAAGTACTGCCACAAACTGTACCAATGTAATTTTTCTTCTTTTGCTAGAAAGCATCCTTTGACATATACTAAGCGTAAAACCTATAGGTACTAATAAAAATTTTGTAGCTTTAACCCCCCCCCCCCTCAAAAAAAAATTTACTATAGAAAGCATTTTACAAGGTGATATTTTGACTTGTACCTCAGAACATATATGCTGTACATGTATACTTAAAAAATAAACTTTCAGTTAAAATGGTGAAAAGTAGGCCTTTATGTTTTTTTTTCCTCCGTGTCCATTTCTTTCGATGCAGTTATCTTGGTTTCTCTTTAACTAATGCAAGTATAAACTATTTCACAGTTCCGTTTCGCGAGCTTACAACTTTGTGTGGCAAACGATGCTTACACAAGCTTGTTTTGCCGCCATTTTATCCATCGTTTACGAACGTGCACAAAAATACAGCCAATTTTAAAATTACGCAATAATTATATGTTTCTCGATATAGATTGTGTTTTATGAGTTAAGATCTTGCATATGGCCAGCTTTATCCCTGACGAGTCTTCGCTGTCATCTTTTTTGTTCTTTAATTATCGTTTTTAATTTGTATTTTCTTGATTTCTGTACAATTCTTTGTCGGAACGGTAGTTATAATTTACTTTCCAAAGGAGAAAACTTTTCAGTGTAAAGTAATTTTAATATACCAGTCAAGCAAGGTGATTTCAGTCTACCCTACCTGTACTGGATTCAAAAACTGACAAAAAAATCATTACAAATAAAGAAGCATTCCTGGGTCTAGTAAATGGTCTTCTAAGCCCTTATCTTTACTCCTTACAAAAATAACTGCCGTAAAGGAGAAACTGCAGACGTTTTGTGCTACAGCGTATTCTAGAAATTGTGTAAATCAGAAGTTCAATTCTCAGAATCTCTAAAGAACTTCAAGACACTTTAAAATCACTCAATTTTTCAAAATATATTTTGACATCAAACCAGATTTTTCGACACCTTTTTCAACAATCCTCATGGTAAATTAAAATCTCGACTTTTAAGAGTACACAAGGTATCTGACGTTGATATTAAAAAGATGCTAGAGTTCCGCATTGACAGCTTTAATGTAGTCTAGTTTTTCAATAAATTATTGAAATTCCGATGGGCACTAATTGTGCTCTCTAATCAGTAGACCGGTCTTTATATTCTTCTACATGAGAAGAAAACACTTGACGTAGCCTTTAATTCGACATTCAGACACTTGTATCTCGACCATGTTTTATCAATATTAAAAAATAGAAATTTCATTATTTCGACTCAATATAGCCAAGACATATAGAAATAAAAGACACCACAGAGTCCGACACTTCTATATTATATTTGGAAGTTTTCCTGACTATAGACGATAAAGGCCCACTAGCAACTAGATTATATGACAAACAAGATGTCTTCAGTTTTTCCATCGTCAACATTCCTTATTTTTATAGTAATGTTATAATTTAATTTGCTTATTGTGTTACCTTTATGTCTCCCAAATTATTAACTTCTCACAGCTTATACACAGTATTTTCAATTTTTAAGCCTTGCATGTTTTTCACGAATAAGTTGGTGTTATGGGGATTTCAACAATCTCGTTTCGGTAATTTTATAGTCGTTTTAATGCAATCCTAAGCAAGTATATCGTTCCTTTAATTTGGGTCGTACACATGTATTTCGCTGACTTATTTCATACCCATTCGGATGAATTTACCTGTTTTATTTTCATTTTACTTTAGTTCAAGATGATTTATCGGATAAGACGTGAAAGAAAAAATGAGTATAGTCAAAAGAGTGTCTAAATAGTTTCAGAAGTCGTCGATATCTTGCCAGGGACAAAGGCTCTGGTTTTCGCATGAAGAAAAGAAAAGAGAATTGTGCGATTTTATGTAGTAACGCATACATGTATGTAATGTATAGGGACAATGAAAAAAGTGCATTGTATTACATAAAAAATTATATACTGGGATGTTCTAACAGATTTCATTGCATCGAAAATAACTGTAAAACAACTTAGGATTGTGAAAGGGGATTGTTAGAATAGATGTATTCTCCCCTGGCATGGAATTAAATACAAAAAATGATCGAAATGATTGAAAAAATGATACATAAGATTGGCTGCGTGAAACAAAAACAGGTACTTAAATGTAAAGAACACTTTTCTTTGGAGGAACGATGAGGCAATTTAGTCAGTGCAATCCATTGGCTTACAGAATTCTACAAAAAAGTGGTTTTTCAATGACAGTGCATTCTTTGAATGCTTTTGATCCCAATTATATCTTCGAAAGAATAAAAATAAATCGAGTTATCCTACATGTATGTTTTAGATTTGAAAATGAAGCAAAATTGACATTTAAAAAAAAGATGACTGTCATTTGTTTTAAATGTTTTACAAATCCGATTTAAAAATACATTTTCGTTTGTTTGTCTTAAATGATTGACTATTTGATAAATGGGTTGACAGTAAAAATATCTCACAAGAATTGTAAACTAATATTAATGCAGGCCACGTCAAAACACATAGAACATTACATTTGTCACGACCACGAGGAATAGATATTGTTTCAAACAATTTTGAGGAAAAAAAAATGATCGACAGGATTGTAAGTACTGCCACAAATTTTATATATCTTCTATTTACATCAGGATGTTGCACTATTTAGTTTTTAGTTTGATTAAAATACCAGGAAATCTATTTTTGATTAGAAACAAAAGCGGAAATTAATTTTTACCCCAAACATATTCACCATATGAATTAAAATACCGAATTTCTTGAAATGGTTTTTTTTTTCAATTTAATGAGATGTAGACAAAATTTTAAATATGCTGCTTATGTCAACGTTTGACAGTTTCTTTTTTATTACAACTATTTACTACCCAATAATTTTATAATTTTCAAAACATCCTCAATATTCAACCAAAAATATTTCTGCGAAAATTTGTTTTCCTGGGGTGTATAAATTGATACGCGATTTTTATTCTGAAAAAAAAAAAAGTTTTATGTTGTGGAACTTTGGATTCTGTAGCCATCAACTCTTTGTTTTGACTAAATCAACTACATGTATCTAGAAAAGTTCTGTATTCTGTAACCGCCAAACTCCTTAATTTTTTACCAAATAAAATATCTAGAAAGTTGAAGTATAGTTTTTAGAAAGACAATCATATCGATAAGGTATTAATGAAACTGAAATAAATAACCCCCACATAGAACAGAACACGCGTTCATTAACAGCACGTTAATATAACGAGTTGTTCCTGGTGACGCGTGAGATACCCTTGTTTGTTTTCACTCAGATGATTTGATGAATACAAACAAATCAAACATCTTAACATGCCTCCCTTTCTAGAGACACTGTGGATAAAAGTGTGTTGTTTGTTTAATCTCTCACATTTATTCTTCTCAATGAAAATGAAAACGATATTAAGATATGTATGTTTTATTTGTTAACGAATTTTTGGGGATCTTTTATCTTGATCCACCTTTTGAACGATAAATTACATTCCAATTAAATAACAGGACATACCTTGCTCTTAGAAACCATGAAGATCTCAAACATTCGGAATAAAGGTTCGGTTTATCGTGACCCAGCAATTGGAATTTACAGGGGGTCATTTTCAAAAATAATCATCTACATTACCACTATAAATTTTGTAATTTGGTTGATGTCATGCACAATCAAGATCCATTTCTATTACGTATTTAAGTAAAATTGCGCTTTAGACACACCCTTTATTTAATCCAAAAGCCCCAAAACGAGAATGCATTCCAAGATACAAGAAAATGCTTTATTTGGACGTGTGATAATTCTTACATAAGAAAAATCATCTCTAAATGTTTTATTTGCTTTTCGTTAGCAATCATTAAAAGGAACAATGTGAATACTTTCTGATTAAGAAAAGGAAAGTCTAGCATTTTTGAACTAGATTACAAAAAGAAAGCCATTTTAGAATTGTTTTAGCAGCAATAAAGTATAGGATAGACTGGTAATAAAAACAGCTAGCACTCCTTACGTACACTCCTTATACTTATTAGAAATAGGAGCTTGAACTTTGCAAGAAAAATATTTTACGTTTGACCACCAATAATAATATATTTCCCCGAGATATTTTCTGCTTTGGCTAAAACCTTGATTTTTCAAAACAAATAATAATAAACAAATCCAATATTCAACAGTAATATTCCTATTTCAGTTTCATTTCACTCTAAGCGAGGAAGAACTGTCTCATTACTTTGGAACCACATTATTGAAACAAGGTAAGACTAGCAATTAGTTTCTTCATATTTTATTTTTCTAACGAGCATTTTTATGATGGTATCTCAGTAAAATGGCCTAAGCAGCGATGAAAAATAAGATCGTAAAAAAGAAAACAAATTGGAAAAGTATCCCACATATCATTTGTTAATGTATTTCTCTCTTATTTAAGGAAAAAGACACCACTTTTTTCAGTTTCTACCTTATTGCTGTCTTTATAAAAGGGTATAACAGTCACTTATCGAGCAAAGAGCATAACAGTTAAGGTTTACGCGTATCCCTGTCCATCAAATGTCGAATCGTGTTTGTTTTCATAAGCCAGCTACATGTATGTTTCCTTTTTCAGTTCCAGATTATGACTTCATACCTGTGCAGTCAATAGAAGAACAGGAGGCAAGGACAGGGTCTCGAAACATCACGGTGAAGGCGTTCGGTCAGGAGTACCGACTGTACCTAACAGAGAACAAGAATCTCCTATCACCCGGTAAACAACCCTCTTACGCCTAAGGATCTAGTTTGTCTTTTGTAACCTTTCTCTGTGGGTTTAAAAATCTATAATACAGAAGAGGCATTTTCACATAAACAAGACATTATTAGTGTAATGAAACTTGGGTCTTCTGCTAAAAACATGATTGGGTAGCTGATTGGGTGTCGTCTTTTAAATAATTTATATTTAAGAGGAACAAAGAAATTTGTAAAAACGGTCCATCGTAATCGAGAATTTTATTTATGCCCTTTAATTTTTTACAGCATTAAAGGAATATACTTTCAAGAACAACCTTGATTAAAGAATAAAGATAATAGACCTCTGTTTTTCCATTCGATGTGAAATATGTAAGAATACATCCAGTAGGCATTTGTTTATTGTATGTAATAAATTCATAATAACACTTTTTAGTTTCAATATAGCAAATATGTCATATTAAACATGTATAAAAATCGCACAAGAAGTACATGCATTATCTTGAGCCTAATGATATGATATTTAAAACATTCTTTTATTTCATAGTAATCAAATGCAAATATGAGGGGGGAAACGTGACTCTATTATAAAACCGTTGTTGAAATCTTCAGAATTGGGGATACCAACCTTTCATTTACAATTTCTATATCACTGAAAAAAATCACCTAAAGAGACTATTACAGAATCTTGATTACAGTTCTCCTAATCTACATTTTGATTGGATAGATATTTCCTATAGCAAAACATTGTCTGACGTCTTTCCTTTAACTTTGGAAGTCTTTTTTATCTGCTCCTTCAGTACCACGCCGGAATAAAATTTAATTAAAGGTTCGCAGAATCTTTAGTACCATAGATGTGCCATTATGTACTCCTATTTTACGTTTCAATTAGATAGATATCATGTCTTTCTCATATTAAAACATGGACGCTGCCAATCTTCCTAATATATTAGGATCACGATAAGAATCAATTCTATCCTTTTTCTTAATAATCCGGTCGCAATAAAACTAGGAAGATTAATACATAATACACCTTATCTTTATAGGGTTAGTTTGCAGAGACAAAAAAAGTTGATTTAAAAAATAAACTTTTTTTTCTTGTAGATTGTTTAATTAACCACATATACTCAAATGGAAGTAAGGAGAGTGTCCCATGTAGTGCTGGAGGAGAAAACTGTCATTACATTGGACATTCGGAGTCTCATCCAGGCTCTGCTGTCGCCATCAGTGTCTGTGACGGATTGGTGAGTACATTTGGGAATTCCTACCTGTAAATGGAACGCAAAACATTCAGACAGACGCAGAGGAAACCCCGATAGAGAACTAATAAAAAACCAGAGCAAGAAATTTCGCCACACAATGGCTATCCTATTTTTCATATGGTTTTGATACAAAGATAAATTCAGAAACAAAATTCTAATATACAAAAAGGAACAAGAGGCCCATGGGCCACATCGCTCACCTGAGCACTAAGGGTAGGAAAAAGTAGAAAATGGCTTTTTATTGTAAATTTTAAATCCAAAAGTAGTCCCATGACCAATCATGGATTTGCTATTTTTTAGAAAATGATTTTTAAAGAATTTTCCTATATATATATCTTTAAAAACTTTGGTCGGCCATTTTGGCCCCGCCCTACCCCTGGGGTCATGATTTGAACAAATTTGAATCTACACTATTTGAGCATGCTTCCATATAAATATGATGAATTATGGCTTTGTCATTCTTGAGAAGAAGATGTTTAAAGAATTTTCCTACATATTTCTATGTAAAACTTTGGTCGGCCATTTTGGCCCCGCCCTACCCCCGGGGGTCATGATTTGAACAAACTTGAATCTACACAACCTGAGCATGCTTCCATATAAATATGATGAATTATGGCTTTGTCATTCTTGAGAAGAAGATTTTTAAAGAATTTTCCTATATATACTTTGGTCGGCCATTTTGGCCCTGCCCTACCCCGGGGGGTCATGATTTGAACAGACTTGAAACTACACAACCTGAGCATGCTTCCATATAAATATGACGAATTATGGCTTTGTCGTTCTTGAGAAGAAGATTTTTAAAGAATTTTACTATATATACTTTGGTCGGCCATTTTTGCCCCGCCCTACCCCCAGGGGTCATGATTTGAACAAACTTGAATCTACACTACCTGAGCATGCTTCCATATGAATATAATGAATTATGGCTTCGTCATTCTTGAGAAGAAGATTTTTAAAGAATTTTCCTATATATTTCTATGTAAAACTTTGGTCGGCCATTTTGGCCCCGCCCTACCCCCGGGGGTCATGATTTGAACAAACTTGAATCTACACTACCTGAGCATTCCTCCATATAAATATGATGAATTATGGCTTTGTCATTCTTGAGAAGAAGATTTTTAAAGAATTTTCCTATATATTTCTATGTAAAAATTTGGTCGGCCATTTTGGCCCCGCCCTACCCCCGGGGGTAATGATTTGAACAAACTTGAATCTACACTACCTGAGGATGTTTCCTCATAAGTTTCATCTTTCCTGGCACAGTGGTTCTTGAGAAGAAGATTTTTAAAATATGCCACCAAATTTTCATTAATTCCCAATTATCTCCCCTTGAATGAGGGCGTGGCCCTTCATTTGAACAAACTTGAATCCCCTTCACCTAAGGATACTTTGTGGCAAGTTTGGTTGAAATTGGCCCAGCGGTTCTTGAGAAGAAGTCGAAAATGTGAAAAGTTTACAGACAGACAGACAGACGGACGGACGGACGGACGGACGCCGGACAAAATGTGATCAGAAAAGCTCATTTGAGCTTTCAGCTCAGGTGAGCTAAAAATGTTGGAATTCTAAGCCTTTTGTCTTTACATTCTGAATGAAAATGTGAAAATTGCAATTTTTTATATATTCTGTATGAACTGATTATATTGAATTTTAATACTGTAGGACTAAGTATTAAAAATATCACCCGTTTGAAAAACAAGGGGAGGGCGTATAATGATGGGGGTATCCGTCCGTTTAGCTGTACATTCGTCCGTCCGTTACGCTTTGGGGGTACCAATCCCTTATCCCTACCTCCTCTTATACCACTGAATGAAATTTATTGATAGTTTCACTTTTTTACATAGTGCCATCATACTTACTTAATCCTCTTCGTGCTGGTTAGCACATAAGGCCGTCACCAGAGACTTCCATGCTGGCCTGTCCTGTGTCCATTTCTGGATCTGTCCCCATGTCCAGCTGTTCTTTCCCATCTCTTTATCTACAGATCTTCTCCATGTTTCTTTTGGTCTTCCTCTCTTTCTCTTGCCAGATGGTGTCCATTTCAAAGCAACCCTTGGGATGGAAGTTGGGTGCATTCTACATACTAGTACATGTCCTATCCACTGCCATTTTCTTCTTTTTATAACTTGAGATAGAGGGGTGGTGCTGGTCTTTTTGTACAGCTCTTCATTTGAGATGGTATTTGGCCAGAAGATGCGTAGTATTCTGCGAAGGCAACGTGTCTGGAAGGTATCTAGCTTGTTTGAAATTTTCTTTGTAACTTTCCATGTTTCAGCACCATATAGGAGGACCCCAAGCACGTTGCTCTTGAAGATCCTTATTTTGGTGTTTATGCTGATCTTTGCTGACCTCCAGATGTTTCTTAGTGCAACATACGCTCCTGTGGCTTTAGAAATCCGAGCTAGTACATCTACCTCTGAGTTCCCATCTGTGGTGATCTTGCTTCCTAGATAGACAAATTCTGAGACTTCTTCTATTTTTTCATTATTTAAGGTGATGGGCTCCTCTGATTTAGTATTGACCTTCATGATCTTGGTCTTGGTGTTGTTAATATTCAGGCCAATCTTCCGTGCTGTTTCTGCTGGTTGGTTGGTCTTTTCTTGCATGTCACGATGTCGGTGTGATAGCAGTGCTATGTCGTCTGCAAAATCTAGGTCTTCTAACATCTCTGCCATGGCCCAGGTAATTCCTGTCCGCTTATTCTTGGTGGTTTCTCGCATGATCCAGTCAATGCAGAATGTAAAGAGAAGAGGGGAGAGCAGACATCCCTGTTTTACTCCAGTCTTCAATTTGAACTCCTCTGATAAGTTTGGTCCATAGATAACTCTGGCATTTAAGTCTGTGTATAGCATCTTAATGATGGAGATGATTTTATCTGGGATCCCATAATGACTGAGAATTTTTTCTAAGGCTAGGCGATTAACACTGTCAAAAGCTTTTGTAAAGTCAATAAAGTTTATGTAAAGTGGAGAGTTCCATTCATTGCTCTGCTCTAGTATTTGTCTGAGAGTGAATATCTGATCAGCACATGATCTCCCCTTTCTAAATCCTGCTTGTTCTTTCCGCAGTAGTGCCATTATGCACCTCCTATTTTACTTCTTGATCGGAAACTTATTTCGGGTTTTCCATCACAGAGCATGGTCACTGCCTTCCTTTTTATAATATTAAGAGGTACCCATCTCTTAGCCACAACTTCTCCTATACCACTGATCAAAATCATAATTATATTTTAACAGATTCTTTATTACATAGCGCCATTGTGACCTTCCTATTTTATTTTTTGATCTAACACTTATATTCTGCCCCCCCCTTCCCCCCCCCCCCCACAACTTGTACATTTGTGAGTTCAGTGCTCACATTACCTCTAGTTTAAACTTGTATTCAATATTAAAAAAGATCTTTGGTTTCATAAATACGCTTCAATCTGAAGACATTGAAGTTAAAATTGTTCTCTCAAAAGAAAACAGATACAGTCAAAATATCTGTGGTTTTTCCTACTAGTGATATAGGTACAACTTTTAAACCAGAAGTCTCTGTCGAGACTGTAGCTCTACTGGTGGTGTCTTCTAGCTATTCCCACTTTTTAAAAATCTCAATTCCACCTATTCCCACTTGCAAATAAGAATAGATGTTTAGATTTACCTGTAGTTTGTACATTTTAAGACAGAAAATAATGAATACATTTATGAGAAAATTATGATTCTATGGTGGCATATTTCTGCCCCTTGTGTGCAAGTTATTTTTCTATCAAATATGTCGACATGCAAGATAGATATGTTGACATGAAACAAAGCTATGTCAACATGCAACATAAATATGTTAACATGCAAGAAAATTGCAATAAAATAAAAATCATAAAAAATCTTCATAAATCTCAAATATTGCCCACATGTGACATCCAACATGCTAAATGCTACTTATTTATGTTAACATGCAAGATAAATATGTTGACATGCAACTTAGACATGTTAACATGCAACTTATTTATGTTGACATGCAACTTATTTATGTCGACATGCAACTTATATATGTTAACATGCAACTTATTTATGTTAACATGCAACTTATTTATGTCGACATGCAACTTGGTTATGTTGACATGCGAGATAAATATGTTGACATGCAACTTATAAGTTGCATGTCAACATAACCAAGTTGCATGTCGACATAAATAAGTTGCATGTCGACATATTTATCTCGCATGTCAACATAACTAAGTTGCTTGTTGACATTTTTATCTTGCATGTCAACATAAATAAGTTGCATGTCAGCATAAATAAGTTGCATGTCAACATAAATAAGTTGCATGTCAACATATTTATCTTGCACGTTAACATAAATAAGTAGCATCTAACATGTTGGATGTCACATGTGGGCCATATTTGAGATTTTTGAAGATTTTTTTATAATACTTATTTGAATGCAATTTTCTTGCACGTCAACATATTTATGTTGCATGTTGACATAACTATCTTGCATGTCAACATATTTATCTTGCATGTCGAAATATTTGATAGAAAAATAACTTGCACACAAGGGGCAGAAATATCCCACCATATGATTCATTTCGGATTTTTGAAATTATAAAAATATATTACAAGAAAAAGCAACTTAATACCTAAATTTAAGAACATAGTTATAATTATTTGCTTACACAAAATTCCACCTATTCCCACATAAGGTCTTACCTTTTTCTACATGATTTTCAAAAAGTGGGAATAGGTAGAATGAACCCTACTGGTTTGTACTTTTAACAAAGGATGAGAAAAGAAGCCATTGCCATCAGACCAAAACTGTAGGATGACTAGCGTTTTAAAGGAATTTCAAAGAAAATTCAATTTTGAGTAACCATGGCAACATTGTTCATCGAAATTAAAATCCAATGCACTATTTTATGTATCTTAGTGTAGTCTACTTGTGTACCAAGTAATATTGAAATCAAATCAAAACTGTAGGAGGAGTAGCGTTTCAAAGAAATTTCAAAGAAAATTCTATTTTTAGTAACCATCATCAAAATAAAAAACAAATGCATTATTTCATGTATCTTAGTGTAGTCTACTTGTGTGTTTCGTAATATTGAAATCAGACCAAAACTGTAGAAGGAGTAGCATTTTAAAGGAATTTCAAAGAAAATTCTATTTTTAGTAACCATGGCAACACCGTTCAACGAAATCAAAAACCGATGCACAATTTTATGTATCTTAGTGAAGTCTACTTGTGTGCCAAATAATATTGAAATCAAATCAAAACTTTAGGAGGAGTAGCGTTTTAAAGGAATTTCAAAGAAAATTCTATTTTTAGTAACCATGGCAACACCGTTCATTGAAATCAAAAACCGATGCACTATTTTATGTATCTTAGTGTAGTCTACTTGTGTGCTAAGTAATATTGAAATCAAATCAAAACTGTAGGAGGAGTAGCGTTTTAAAGGAATTTCAAAGAAAATTCTATTTTTAGTAACCATGGCAACTCCGTTCATCGAAATCAAAAACCGATGCACTATTTTATGTATCTTAGTGTAGTCTACACGTGTGCCAAGTAATACTGAAATCAGACCAAAACTGTAGGAGGAGTAGCGTTTTAAAGGAATTTCAAAGAAAATTCTATTTTTAGTAACCATGGCAACACCGTTCATCGAAATAAAAAACCGATGCACTATTTTATGTATCTTAGTGTAGTCTACTTGTGTTCCAAGTAATATTGAAATCAAATCAAAACTTTAGGAGGAGTAGCGTTTTAAAGGAATTTCAAAGAAAATTCTATTTTTAGTAACCATGGCAACACCGTTCATTGAAATCAAAAACCGATGCACTATTTTATGTATCTTAGTGTAGTCTACTTGTGTGCCAAGTAATATTGAAATCAAATCAAAACTTTAGGAGGAGTAGCGTTTTAAAGGAATTTCAAAGAAAATTCTATTTTTAGTAACCATGGCAACACCGTTCATTGAAATCAAAAACCGATGCACTATTTTATGTATCTTAGTGTAGTCTACTTGTGTGCTAAGTAATATTGAAATCAGACCAAAACTGTAGGAGGAGTAGCGTTTTGAAAAATTGTTTACAGACAGACGGACAGACAGACAGACAGACGGACGGACGACGGACACCTTACTATCGCATAAGCTCTTCTGGTCTCTGACCAGTAGAGCTAAAAATCATGCATTAACAGTCATTTCGTTTAAATAATCCTTTAAAATTTCAGATCGTTAGTAATTACATCGTTGGTTGATACATTTGTTTTAATGGCTAAAAGAGAGAAATAAAAATCTTATAAAGGATGTTTTGATCTTTTTTCTTTTTAGCATGGCGTAATTAGTACACCAGACCACGATTTATACATTCAGCCTTTACTGGAGAACCACAAATGTCGCGTTTCAGATGAGGACAATCACTTGGTGGTAAAGCGCTCGGTGCAACGACAGAACGATTTATCGGGTATGTATTGGACATGAGCCGCAGATGTTGCCAATTATTTACTTACTACAACAAAGGGATAACATCTTTGTTTAAAGTGTTAGGAATTCGTTTCTATAGAATTTGAAATAATTGTATCGTATTTGAAACATGTGGATGACTATTGAACTATTACTGAAAATAAATGAGTCAATCCCTTACTTTGACGTTAGACGGATGAACTGCCATTCATTTTTTCCCAGGGGTAATTGATAAATTTTTTTTTTACAAAAACAACACTTTCGTAAAAGATTAAAACGTTGAAAAGTATCTTAAGTATATTTACAGGATTTCAACAATCTGACAATAATTACCAGAAAAAAAAACCCTCAGAACCTCTATTTGGAAGTCATGTTAACGTCATTTTAAAATTGCATTTTAAGGAAAGACACAATATTTGTTGCTAGATGAAGACAAATTGATCGTAAAGCGATCCCCAAGACGTTATTTGGAGACTAAAGTTGTGGTAGCTCATGATAGCCAGCTTTTCCATGGCAGTGATACGACAAGATTTGTGACAACGATAATGAACATGGTAAACCCCTTCTATTACTAACGGTTATACTTTCCTCTATTCACTCTTATTGAATTTTGCTTGACACCAAATGACTTTCAAATGAAATCTCATTTTTGATTACAATGCATACAACACCAACAAACCTTTCAGAGCGAAAAGCATTTTGATTGGACAATTTAAAAAAATGATTGATTGGTTATCGCTTTCTGCCGATTCTGCAATATCACAGTCATTTTCCGGCGAGAAATGAACGGTTTTAAAATGATTTTGTTTTTTGCAACGTTTCCCGGTGAACCTACATTTTGTCAGTCAAGAGAATCTTTTGCGCGCCAAGGGGGTGAAATCCTTGACAGGAGGACGGACATAATAACAGATGAATATGATATATGTTTGTTAAAAAAAGATAATAATATTTAATAAAAATAATCTGTAAACACTTAAAAGTAGATTTCTCTGTTTTACAAAAAAAAGATATTTAAAATATCTGTACTTATTAATTTCGCTGAAAAATAAGTTTCATGTAAATTATGCAAGCCCTTTGTCTCTAGGAGATGTTTTAAACATCGTTTTCGACTGATGAAGACGAAATATTTAAAAAAGCCAGCTCCTACAGACAAAAGGGTTACATTATTGATTACATGTAAATAATCTTAGAATGCAAAAAGACGGAAAAGGTGTCAAACTCCATTTTAAAAAATTAAATGAAAAGAGGAGGTCCATGTCATCGAGACTGTGGATTCAAGGCGCATTCAAATAATTTGTCCACTATGTTTTCTATTGTATCACAAAATTCCCAATCAATTTTAATCAATTTTCTAAAGAAAATTTTAGATGAAGTTTGTTTGGTTTGTTTTATTTAACGTTCTTTTCAAGAAATTTTCACTCATATTGAGACACCATTCTTGACGATTAAGGACTGCAAATAGATCTAATTAAACAATTAGGGCCGCAATGACTGAGCAATGAGGGATCTTTTTTCGTGCCAGCACCTACTGCGTCACGACGTTAAACAAAATATTTTGGAGAAATACGAGTGGTGATCAAAAAGTTCGCAAACTAATTGAATAACTTCCATACAAGAAACAATGTTGATTATATTTTAAATTAATCCTCCCCGATTTTAATGCAAAAAAATGCGCGAATCATGATATTATTAAAAGATTTTTCCGTTTTATACTTCTTTCCATGTGAGCTAATTTTTATGACAAGAACAGTTAATTTATCAGAAATGGTCATATTGGGTGGATAATAACATCCTTTCCAAAAATAAGCATGGCGACCATTAAAACACAAATCTTCTGTCTCAGGAGAGACCTTTATTCAAGGTGGATAGAGAATGGGTGCATCCTTTTTATCATGTCTATGTTTAAAATCTAGAGTAAACGATATCTTAGATATTTAATACTTATATCATTGTTCAAATATTCAACTATTTTTCAAAGTGCTAATTGGAGGTCTTTGATCTCTCTATCTTTTCAAACTTGTTTTCACTGGGCAAGAAAAATTTTTAACCATCAGCCTTCCTTCACTAAAACGATTAATCCAATCATTAATTGAATTTATAGGAACTCATTTATCTCAATAAACTGTGTACAAATTATTATATGATACTGTAGAGGGATTTCTAAGATATTACAATAAATTGTACAGTCGTTTGTTGATTCGACTGAGACAACCATTTTTCGTCACAAGTGACCTAAATAGTGACGTCATTTTCACATTGTGACGTCACAAACAAGGAGAAAAACTTTATTCAGCATATGCTATTTATAGACCTTGTGTATGGCTATGCGAGTACCGAATTTCATTCTAATCTGAATTGTGGTTTTGTAGATATAGAGATAGTTTGCGAACTTTTTGATCACCCCTCGTATAAGGGATTTTGAAAAAAAATCTCATATTTATGTGTCAATTTCGGAATTTTGGATATTGACTTGGAATCCAACTAATCAACGCTTTGTATAGAGATATATTTTCCAGTGAGAGTTATCTCTCTTATTTGAAAAAAAAACCCATTGGACCTTAAACTTATAAGAATATGAAATCAGTTGATGATAACAATCGAATGGAACTTTTGCTGAATTTGTGTTCTCATTCTAAGAGACTTACAGAGGAAAATTGTCCATGTCCTTAATCTAAAAAACCTCACAAAACAGTGACACTCTTCTTATGTGTTTTTTTTTTTTCTGTACCAGTACAATTGGATAAAATAACATGTTAGTGAAAAAGTGATATTGTACTCAAATCATGTTACTGTCAAATCGACCATTTTTAACCTAAAAGTCTTTATTTGATTAGTCCCTGATCTGCAAAATTTAGAAACACCTTAATTTTTTTTAGACTTAATGTTATCTACAATCAAATGGTTGGGTTTATCTTACTTCACCGTTTATCAATTTTTTTTTTTTTGTTTTGAAAGCAAAACCCAAAAGTATAACACATCGATGAAAAACTCTTAAGGGTACACCTGTTTTTTTCTTTCGGTGTGCCAAATATATTAACTTGACAGAATTTGCAATATTGTATTTATTCAGTTTATCGATTATATTCGACAAATTCTGAAGATGAGAGTTTCGTACCACAGACAGCATATATGTTCTCCGTCTTTCAATTATCATTTAAAGTCTCTTATGAATACAAAGCAAATATACATAATATACATTGTCCTTCAATCTTCGTTGAAAGTGCTGCTTTATGATCACAAGGTTTTCTTCATATTGTTAACGTCAATTACCAAATCTAACTATACGAGTAATAATACATGTAGAAACTGCGACTGGATCTACTTAACTTGTAATTTGGGAGATAAACGAAATTTGAAATGATGTTCACCAGACATCATCTCTACAAATAGCAAAAAAAAATTAACTAATTTTCGTAAACTGGTGTAGTATTCAAATTCTTCGTAGGAGGGTTTGAGATCATTTTATGTCTAGACTGAAAATTTGTTTACAACCATTCTGTAGATTCTGTTTGATTTTGAAGGTCTCATCCGAAGGAATTTTACATTTACTTCTCTTCAAACGCCAGCGCTTGGTGAAGGAACAATCACTGTACGTTAAACGCTTACATTTCACGCTGCGCGACGAACGAGATTCAAACCTCGACTTCACGTTCACGATTCAAACGCCCTACCACTAATTATTAGCTTTCCTGAACGGTCGTCTGTGATAAATACTTTTAGTAATAAATTATGTTTATAATGACACTCTCGGGCTTTATTGGAATATTTTCTTTTAACTATTTGATAAAATATAAGGAAGAAGAAAAATATATTTTTAAAAATCCTTATCGAAAGTGGTTAAATAAGTACAGGTAATTATGTGAATTCACTAATGATTAATTTTACATTTTCAGGCAGCAAGGATTTTCTTGGATCCTTCACTGGGCGATAGTAAACTTTATGTAGCCCTGGTGGATATCACGATTTTAAAGGATGATAGGGTATATAATACATATTTTCTGCATTCTTCTTCATTTAGACATGTTGTACCTGCAAGTAAACGCCATCAATTATCTTCTAATGCGGAAAACGTTTGTCTTCATAATGCAAATAATTGTCTATGAATGACATATTCTTTCTGGGGAAAATAAATTGACTGATAACTGAATTTCAACTGACATTTCACCCTTTTCGACATACTGTTAAAGCACCAGAAATACGTCAACAGTACAGGCGGCCAATCCTGCTGCATACATGTATCTATACAATAATTGTCAAGTATATTTGCCTCATATATTTGCGGTATACTGGGGGTATCAAGAGAATCGGCTTTCCTTTTGAAAGCAGTTTTTTTTCTCTGATGCAATGAAAACGAATTTTTGAATTTCAGAAAGAAATAAATGTTAAAAATATTGATTTGAAAGAGGACATATACTTGTAGGTTGTAACATTCAAGATTGGCTAATGCTTTCAGCAAGAAACAAGACAGGAACCAAAGAAAACCAAACATATATCCTTGTCAAATGACGTCTTGAAAAACCCTCTGTGTATAATTCTGAGGCATTTATCCTGAAAAACAGCATGCTTAAGAATAAATCCTCTCGTTACTTTTCACAGCTTTACTTCCGGGTCCTTTATTTCGGCAAATTATACATTCATTACCTTCTAGTTTATCTGTTAATAACAGAAAGTGGATTAAAAAACTAAACTCATGCACAACAACTTTTTAACAAAAAAAAATATAATCATGATAATGGATTTATAAGCCTAGAGTTATTTTACATTCAAGGTCGATTTCCTGTCGATTCATCTATTAGAAATGCGAACAAAATCATTAGTTCTGTTTTGATGTGTTTCAGATATAGGTCCATTACTGTTATCCATGAGGGAGGGGGAACGGTACATTACATAATTCCCCCGCTCTTTTAATACCTATTGATGTTTTTCTATGTTGTACAACAGTCTGACCTAAAGATCGTAGCAGACTCCGGGGACCTCTTGGAAACCTTCTGTCAGTGGCAGAAAAATCACGATCCAAATGACGAATCTGATCCTAAATACCCAGACGTGGCGATACTTATCACAAAGTACGTATACACCGTATTCTTAATGGACATTTATTTTGAAAGGTAGAGAATATTCAGGTGCGAGATGAATTATCGCAGAAACCTTGGCATTAAAGTGCGAGTTTTTCAAATGTTATATCAGTTCTGAAGAGCCGAAGGCTCAAAGACTAAGTCGGAAGATGTTTGAATGGTGTGGTATGCTGAAACTTGTTTTGATTTGAAAAATATGTAAGAAAAGAAGTACTAAAGGGTGGGGATATATTGATAATTTAAATGCTTTTACATCATTATTCAAGGACAAAAAGCATGGACCAAAGGCCTCTTTAATTGATAGTCCATTTCATACTTTCTACCAAATGATTCGAACAAGTATTGTCGTACATTCATTTTTTTTACATAGTGAGATCAAGATTATTCAGGCCTAAAAGTTGACCTTTTTTGTTGTTTTTTTACGGGCTTTAAAAGCGTATAAGCTATATATTCTGAACTCTGTCATGTGAAGGTTCTCCAAAAGGAAACTTCTTCAATTGATGATCAATTATTGTGAAATTTTCATACCTCTTACCAAATGACTAGAACAAGTATTATCATATATTGCCAGTTGAGGCGTAATGGATTCCCAGTGTATAATTTAAAGTTAGTCATTGTGGCATCCTCTTGCAATTCTTTTTCAAATTGTCTTAGATGTTCTTGGACTATGTGAAGCCAACGGAGCGTAAGATCTTGTCAGTTGATGCATCCCAAGACTTAGGGAGGTGTCAACTAAAATATATTACAGTGGTCTTCATTCAGAAGCTTCAACTATTCATTTTCCAATTGTAATATATCTTGACCGGTGAATGAAACGGGGTATTTTACTCCTCTTATCTACAGACACCTGATTCGAACCTCTGGTGTTTTTGGGAGTAGGTAGTCTTTTACTTGCTTTTTGGGACAAATCACTGGTTGCTTCATCACTTTTTGCAAAGTAAGATCAAGATGATTCAGTCCTAAAGTTGGTCAAGTGACCTTTCTTGTTTTATTTTACGGGATTCAAAAGCTTTTAAGCTATATATTCTGAACTCAAGTGAAGGGTCTCCAAATTAGGAAATTGTTAACGGTTTGCGACTTGAGGCTTTCATTCTAGAAGTTAAATGTGCCCTGGGGGCTCGTGATATGTTGACGAAAAAGTCGATCACAGAGACCCATAATTTAATTATGGCTATTGATGCTGAAATTCTTGGTATGAATTTGGAACACTTTGTTGTGCAATTTATCAAAACCCTGTCAGTTTCTGCACATTCTAGTTTGTAACAGAAGTCTTTAAAGATAATGTCTGTTCCTTCATTCCCTCGCAACGGTATTGGGGGGGGGGGGCACATAGTAATGCAATCGTTCGTTGTGCCTTCATTGATAGATATGTTCCTAACAAGGGGATGCTCCGCTTTGCGGTGCTCTTGTTAAACGTAATATTACTAGTAATTTGAATATGAAGAGGTCTAGTATTATCAAATATTGTCATTTGATGCATAAAATTTTTTTTTATTCTAACTATGTATGGACCATACTGGGGGATAATTGAATTAAATTGAATAAATTAAATATGATATTGGCAAAGTCAAAAGGATAAGATACAAGTTCTTCTTTATAGTCGTCTCCTTATACGGAATTTTATAAAATTGTCATGATAAAGAGCAATTATTTTTCAGTAACAAAACAAATAAGTAGTGACAAAGACTGTAAACTCCTGATACCAAAAACAATTCTTTATATAAAAATTAAGATATATACCACAAGTTTTTTTAAAACAAGAGGCCCACGGGCCTTATACGTCACCTGAGTATCATGTAACAACTGTCCAACAATTGAATTCAGTTCGTGTTTTAAACCAGAGGCCATGAAATTCGCAATTTTGAAAGAAGTACCATTGCTTATCATAACTATACACTTAGCATGCTTTGGTTACTTAATACCAAGAGGTAGATCAGAGTAACAAAGAGAAAACTATTTCCACTTTATAACCAGTAGTGCACTCCACCCCACAGGAACCACTGACTTTGGGGCCACATATTTCAAAAGTTTGGAAACTTTATCATAAATTTTATTTCATCATAAACTGTTGATTTATATCATGGAGATTTCAAAGCATTATTTTATTTTCAAACTATGTAACCACCCCAAGTACCACTCACCCAGGGGCCCTGAAATAAACCATTTTGGAAGAGGCACCTTTCTTCATCATAAACATGTACTTAGAGCATTGACATAATACCCAGGAGCAACCGAAATAATTTTAAAATAAATTTCATGCAATCTCTCTACTTATTCATTAGAGCCCCGCCCTAACACCAGTGCTCCTGACCCAGGACCTGTGCCCCTTGTGCTATGAAATTCATAATTTTGGAAGAGGCAGCCTTATTCATCATAACTATATACTTGGTTTTGTTTATTTAATGCCCAGGAGCATAGAAGAAGATTTTAAAAGAAATCATGCATTTTCCCTATATAATGTACTAGTATTTAGCCCCACCCTAGATCTAGAACCCCTGACCTAGGGCCATGAATTTCACAATTTTGGTAGAGGACTCAATGCTTATTACAATCATGCCAACAGCTTGATGTCCAGGAGTAAAGGAGAAGATTTTTAAAAATTGCATTAATTCAAGTGGTTTTGGCCCCACCCCTCAGGCCCCAGGGGGGGGGGGGGGTAGGGATAATGAAATTCAAATTTTTTATCCTCTTCACCCATGAATGCTTTATACCAAAATTGGTTAAAATTGGTTGAGCAGACGTAGAGAAGAAAAGCTGAAAATGTTCAAATGTTAACGCGCGACGCACAACAAACGTCTCACGATGACGGACGAAAACGGATAGCAATAGGTCACCTGAGTTGACCTAAAAAAAGTATGATAGGCTTTAAAAAATTGTACTTTTTTTTAATCAGAGAATGAATAAATACCCTATAGCATCATATGCTCATAATGTAAAAAGTGTTGAATGATAATAAATTACTCATTAGAGAACGCTTTGCTATTGCATATTTTCTACAACAGTAAACAAATGATATGAATCATTTTTGTTCGTTGGGAGCCAATGTTCGTTGATTTCTTAAGCCTTCCTTACACACGAATGGACAGCCCCATGAACATTTATGTTATAAAAATATATTGATTCATTTATTTACCATATAAACGCGTAACTCACAAAGAAGTAAAATTTTGCTTACCCACGAACATTGACCACCACGCATTAGAATGTCTCCCTATTGTTTGAGTACAGCAAACGTAGGGCCACCAAACCTAGATGCATCTTTTTGCCTGATATAAAGTATAGAGAGTATTCAAGATAAAAGTCCTTTTAAGCAATACATGGGAAGCAGGGAGGGTATCAGATGCCATGAAGGAGTAGTCATAACCTGTCGACTGCTTTTACCTGCTGCGTGCTCTTGGTCATAATCGGGAAAACGGGAAAATCCGTACAAATTTTTGTGTATGTAATGGCCTAACAATTGGTATGAAAAATGACCTAATGATAGATTTTATTTGTTGATTAAGTCATTGTTTCGGCCATAGAACTTCCAAAGTAATGATGACTTTAAACAAGACTGTTGATATCCTTGTTTCATCAACTTGCCGGTTAAAAGCTTGCAATTGTCCCTTTTAAGAATTGATCGTACGTAGAACATGCTCTTGGGTATCGAATCAGTTAGAAAACATGAATCTTATATGCAGGAGATAGGGGTTTATTGCTTCGTAAGTAAGGGAAGTCGCTAGAAAAGTTAGAAGGGGGCTTGGGTGAGAAGGAAAGGTCATTGTAACCTTATCATTTCAAAAAGGTTGTTAATGTATTAAACACTATAATCTGCGTGTTCTAAATTTTGCATAAAAATGAAGAAGTTAGCATAGATCTGACTTAACCAAACGTGCTAGATGTAAAAAAAAAGATATTCATCGAACTTTATTTAGCAAAATCTGCATTCTGCCGTAAGCCCTTAACACCGTCAATTCTTCAATCCCAAGGACCATCAAATATTGTTTGTTGATGCATCTTGAAGCCGTGACACTTAAGGTGCCACAGGGTATTATTTTTTGGGTTCTTATCTTTGAATCCAAGCTTAATTTACCTCGTCAGATGATCGATGCACCAATAGCATTTTTTAAATTCTACTTATGCAATTGACCAGAAGAGCATGTCTGGGCACTATGGCCTCTTGTGAGTGATGTTTATACTGTATTTCATGAATAATATATTTCAGTTCTCCCAGGCCTCTCAATTTCCAAGAAATATTTCGGAGTAAAAAAGAGCTCTTGAGTTACATTAATTTTGCTTCACAACTCAATTATAAAATCTTTTATAAATTGCAGCCACGATGCTAGTGTTAGATAATGGCGTTAGTAGCCATTCATATTTTAAGGAGAAATGCAACCAGACTCAAATCATGATACTCATTCGTATCAATAAAAATTATAATGAATACATGTACATGTAAATTGAATTTAACTTTTCAGGAAGGACTTGGAGAAAAATGGAGATAAGATGAATGTAGGCCTGGGTACTATGGGAGGAGTTTGTTACACGGATAGAAAATGCACAGTGAACCAGGACTCGGGTTTGGACACAGCGTCCACTATCGTGCACGAACTTGGACATACGTAAGGATTTTTGAACTTTTAAAAACATTATAGAAAATTATAATGGAAATTTAGAATTCACTGGTTGGAGGTTTATGCCATGATGGAAACTTCTGATTGCATAATACAGAATTTAGATAACTGTTCCTTCAGATACATGTATGTCTTAAAGGAAATGTATAATTATTCTTAATTATAATTCTTCCATGGTATAATACGTATTTTATCACTTTAATTTGAAATTATTTGGTCAACGAAGCCGTAATAATTTTGATGCAATTGACCAATAACTATATACTGGTACCAGTATTTGTCATCTGTAAATTTTTGATAAGCCTGAAATATATCTCGTTCTACGCTTAATCAAAAGCCAATTGAAGGTTAAATTGGTACACATCGTCCAACAATAATACTTCTTTTATACTCTTACATTGGTGATCCGTGGTTTATTGCCATATAAGGTAATATTACCACGAAGTTCAGCACTGAATTACAAAAGATAATGATGTTCTAATCAGACACAGTTTTTAAAAAAAGTTTTATGAAACCCTTATTGTAAATGATGAAAATCCATATTTAGTTAATGAAATTCATCTGTGTATTCTACGTAGTTTGTAAGAGATAAATAGTATCAAGTTTAAAGTACAAGTGGCAGTTTCTGTTGAATCTGCTGCTGGATCTATGTCACTGTGCCAACCCTAAAATATAATGGCGGACACACTTAGAAGATAATGGACTGCATTCAGTCACAACACTTAAAGTAAATAGGACTCAATTTGTTAAAATCCTTGAAACACTCGATCACCACAGAAATCGAATATTTCATTGTCAGAAATCTTGCTTGCCTTAAGGATTTGTTGGAAAATGGCTCTCTTGAACTTCTTTTATAATGTAACTAGCTTATAGCGAAGTTGATGTTATACTGTTGGATATACGTGCATTTTTCTTGCAATACAAATCATTTCTTTTGATAACTGTATACAATATAGGTTTTTTTTTACCACAGACCAATTAATATGTCGTTGAAATCACGTGGTTTGTTGGATATTTGTAACTTATTTTTTGCAGTGCAACACATTTTGTTCCGTTTCTGAATAATAATTTTTCTATATTCTTCTTCCATAATTGCAGATTAGGAATGAAGCATGATGGGGATGGTAATCAGTGCCCCCGCAATAAGTACATTATGTCTCCATATGGTTCTGCTAGTTCCGATACTGCAAAATGGTCCTCATGTAGCGCACAATATCTAAGAGACTACTTAAGGTAAATCTATGACAAAGTGTAATGAATACATCAAGGTTAATATATTTGTATTTTGATAAAATCAAATTTAAAATTGATCATTTCGAAGTTATGTTTTCTTCGACCTAAGTAAAATAAGGCTCTAGGGATTTTTTTTATTCAGACCACGTTTCTTTTCTTGGAAGCAATTGAGACGACATCCTACCACATTAAGGTTTAGGGCCTTTGTTTTCATTATGGCTACGTTTTGTTCAATTAGAAGACAACTTCCATCATATGGTAGCAAATTGAAGATAAATACACCCTGGAGACTTGCCCATTAGTACAGAAACTTGCATTGATAAAAGGTTTATGCTGGTTTTCGAGTAAGCAAAGGCGTTTTAACGACCAAATTAGGATCAAACGCCCGTGCATCACGTTAGGTTGTTACGTTCTGCATACCTAGATTTTAACATTCTTTTAAAGTCTAAGGCAGGTTTAGCTATATCAGCTTTTCTGTCAACTTTTTTTAAAATCAAACTACAAAGAAAACCAAAAGATCATATCCTATATTTATACGCAGAACAATGAGAAGTGAATGCTTCTATTTTAAAATAATGAACAGAATTAACAGCTTTTCAAATTTTCAGTGGAGTGCGGTGTCTATCAGATATACCCAGTAGATCATCTGTAAAACTCTATGACAATATCGAAGAGAAACCTGGAATCAAATATTCGGCCGATGCACAGTGTACAATGTTCTTTGGTGGAACAACAAAGTCTTGTGTCAAAAGAACTGTGAGTTTATCCAAGATTTTGCCAAAGTAAAAAGAAAAATATTAAATTAGATATACGGAGGTTAAAATATTACTTTCAAAAGAAATTTCTATAACTGCTGCTGCACGTGTCTGGTTATGTCATGTACGATATATTTCAATTTCAAACGTATAAGAGTATTAGTATATTGATCAGGTAAAATGGAAATGAAAAATGACAACTTCACACGACAAACTTTGCCATTCAATTAGTTTTCAATGAATTTCATTATCTTTTGGGTTCTCTTATAGAAATTATAGATTACTACAAATGAGGTTTCTCAGAAGATTGCTCTATGTTCAGTTCGTTTTTAATCACTTTAATTAATAACAGCATCCTTGCCGTGCAGACTGCATCAATCCCGACACGCAGCAATGTATTATCGTCGCTGGGTCCTTTGTTGATGGAACAGAATGTGGAGGGAGAAATGTAAGGATTTTAAGAATAAGAACTTCCAATGCAAACGAATTTTTTTTTTCAAGAGAGGAAACGTAAATTCTTTACATATGCATTTAAAATAAATCCATATTAATAGCTGGTTATTTAATAACAATATTTTGCAACCAGTAGTGAAATTTATGTAATATTTATTACCATAGTTGTAAATTATATTAGTTAATACATTTACAAGTAATTTTCTCCAAATTTTAAGTGGTGCCTGAACGGTCGTTGTGTGACAATGGGCCAGGGAGCCCCGCGGCCGGTAGATGGCGGTTGGTCGTCCTGGGACTCCCAGTGGTCAGGCTGCTCCAGGAGCTGTGGCGGCGGAGTTACACTAAAGAAAAGAACCTGCACCAATCCGGAGTAAGGGGCTTCCTGTTATTACTCTGTTTTAAAACGGGACTTTTTAAAGTAAATTGCTTTAAAATATACTTGAAAAATTGAATAACGAAATACCACACACCTAAATTAAGGTTATTCAATTTTTTGTTTTAATTAGACCAAGATTTGGAGGTCGTGAATGTTCAGGAAAATCATACCAAGCAAAACTCTGCAATCTTCAGGTTTTGTATTTGTATTGCATTACAAATTATCAATCTGTAGTTAGAATATTTGTATTTTTAAAAACACTGCTCAGAACCTAAATCTTTACTTGCTCATTTTTCAGCCCTGTGTGACCAGCCAACATCAGTTTTACCAGGAGCAATGTTCTGCAACAAATAAAAATCCAGTTCATGGACAACGTTACAAGTTTGTACCATTTACAGAAAGTGAATCAGGTAGTTGAACTAATAAATCACTACTGTATTTGCAGGGAATATTGGCAGCTGTTTTATCAGTAAAATACATTAGATGAATAAAGATTTTTAACATTTCTCATTTTGTTCGCACTTTTACTTTCTAAGACTGCAAACTAACCTGCCGAGCTTTGAACGACAACCTAATATATACGCGGGCTGAAGCAGTTGCAGATGGATCGATGTGTCGCACGCCATCCGCAGCCTTCGAGTCAAGATGTGTAAAAGGGGTGTGCGAGGTATTGAACTGACATTATGATATACGTAACGTAGAATACCACGCAATGAGTGCTAAGGGACAGTACTCGAAGTATAAAGATGGTCCTCATATTTTTATGTGTTACTTTTTGTTTCTCTCTGTTTTTTTTTAAATATGTTGTTTTGTTTTTGTTTTTATTTCTTATTGATATTTTTGTGAATAATGGTTATCTTTTCTGTTACAATTTAAGGGCTTTGGTTGTGACGGCATTTTAGGATCGCGGGCAAAGTTCGATAACTGTGGAGTTTGTAATGGCGCGGGCAATGCATGCACGGCGCATTCAGGAAAATATACAGAAAATCATCCAGGCGGTAATACAATAATTTAAAGCACATTATAAATATAATCATTTTTAAAAAATGGTTTGAATGAGCTAGTCCTCTATTTTCATGCCAGAGGAAATAGCTTTGCATTGCCAAGTACACGGTGAGGCCAAAATTGAATGACTTTTCGAATATAAAAGGTTGCATAATACTTGTGTTTTAGAGAATTGTTATATATATGCGTAAATCCATTACAAATGGTCGATAGCCTCATTTTAATGAAAAACAAGATAAACTTTTAAAAAATGCTTATGTTCAAATTAGCCTTTCTTCCTCGACAGCCTTATCGATTTGTTTTGCGAAGAGATAAGGCCACACCAATTTAATTTGTTGTCAGGCTCATGCGCTGGTATTTAAAAATATTATACAAATAATATAATTTTAGAATTTCCGCACTTGAGAAATTCCGTGCTAGTACAATTTTCTGTCATCCTTAGACTATCAGTAAGGCGTTGTATTCTCGACGTTACATAATTAGCGTCTGAAATTTACACAGCCTTTCATTCACTGTTGAAATATACATTGGACACAAATTCGGGCGAATACCAAAGAGTGTAGCAAGGATCCAATGATAACGTTTCGTACGGCAAAGAGGTGAAGCTTTAGTAGTTTTACCGTTGTCAACAACAATTTAAAGTTTTGATGTTATATATAATTTCTTAATGAGAATGTATGTCGCCATTTGAGACACACTTATTGCAACCACTATTGAAATAACGAGCACTATTGAAATAATTATTTCAGTAGTGGTTGAGAGTGCATATCAATAATATACATAGGTTGCAACCACTATTGAAATACGACCAGTATTGAAATAATTATTTCAACAGTGGTTGAGAGTGCATTTCAATAATAAAAATAGGTTGCAACCACTATTGAAATACGACCACTTTGAAATAATTGTTACATTAGTCTTTGAGAGTGTATTTCAAAACCAACCACTGATTGCAACCACTATTGAAATACAACCACTATTGAGATAATTATTTCAATAGTGGTTGAGAGTGCATTTCAATACAAAACACAGGTAGTAACCACTACTGAAATAACGTACACTATTGAAAGAATTATTTTAAATAAGTATTTTGATAGTTACTGATAATAATCCAATACTAAACTCATATTGCAAGACTTACTGATATAACTTAATATTAAAAAATATAAGGATTAATTGTTCATGATGTTTTCCAAAATTTTTAATTAATTTATTGAGTTAACTATTAAAATTACGACTACTTGTGAATGGTTATTTCAAAAGAAGTTGTAAATACGTTTCAAAACACCACAATTTAATCACCATTGAAAGAACAGCCACTATTGAATAGCTATTTCAATAGTGTTTGAAAATTCATTTCCAAAATAAGATGTATCACTCTATGCAACCAGTATTGAAATTGCGACTATACTATTGAAATAGCTGCATTATATTTCAAATGTTAATGAGATTACATTTCAAAAACAACTCTACATTATATTCCTTCAACTATCACTATGGTTATAAAAGTCATTTAAGCTAAATCTTTCAATAGCGGTTACTAAACTACCTATGTTTTGTATTGAAATGCACTCTCATCCACTACTGAAATAATTATTTCCAATAGCGGTCGTATTTCAATAGTGGTTGCCACCTATGTTTGTTTTTGAAAAGGACTCTCAACCAATATTGAAATAATTATTCCAATAGTGGCCGTATTTCAATAGTGGTTGCAACAGACGCTTATTACGTAATGTCGAGAATGTCAAGCCTTCCTGAAAGTCCAAGGATGACAGAGAATTGTACTAATTTCAGCTCTAAATCTTCTAAATATTTTTCGTATTTAAAATCTGCTTACTCTACAAATAAGAAAAAATCATAATTGTCCGCGCAATTTTTATTACGTCTTAAAAATTTTGCCTACCAAAAAGTATTTTTTTAATGCTCACCCCACGTACAAAAAATTAGATACGTTCCGCCTAACTCTGTAATAAAACAGGTTTATTTTAAGAAATTAATTTTTTTCCCGAGAATTCATGAGGGCATGAACTACGGCGCTTCATGCCGGCATATTTCTGATGAATATGGAGGCGTGAAGCTTTGTAGTTCATGTACCTTATAAAATGTCAGAAATAAAACTCATTTTTTATAATTACATTATTTTTCTGATGCCTTGTTACATATTTTCATCATTCAACGATCATTTTTGGAGAAAAAAAGCACTATTTTTGACTTGAATTACATCACATTGGAAATATTCTTACTCATCCCACGGTGGTTATTGAGAAACTGAACTTTTTCTAATTTGCAAGGAATGTTAAAATATTTAGAAATGTAAACATTCCTATAGAAACTTCTAATTTCAAGCAATGACTTGTATTTACTTCATTAATGAATTTTGCCTATTTTTCTGCTTTGAAAATTGTCATAATTACAAAAAAATCCATCTTAATTTCGTTTCGATGAACTACTGGTGCAAACCAATTTTCTTTCCTTGTTTCGTCCTTTAGGCTATCACACTGTGGTAAGAATACCCGTAGGAAGTACTGGCATTACAGTGGAAAACAAGAATGGCTACAATTTTATGGGTACGTCGTTTATAATATTGCAGAAATCAGGGCATCAATATTAAAGCATAAATAGAAATATATATCAGGTTGTTTTCCCCTTTTCCGCAAATACATGTTCTTATACTGTATTAGAACTACTCTAAAATTTCGAGCACTTTCTTTTCTGAAAACCAATTTTAAAATGTTCGATTGCTTTCTTATGTTGTATATTATTAATATATTAATTAATTTTAATTTACGTTAATAATCGTCCTGGGCCAATTTTAAATTTGCGTACAGGCAACAAAACCAACAAAATCATTTTGGTATTGCAATACACCAAAAAATAAAGTATCTTTTTCGTAGGGTTAAAAATCAATGGACGAGGTATTTTTGGACAGAACAAGAACAAAGCGTTATCTGGTACTTATGGTGGATCAAGGGTGGTGATCGAGTATCGTGCAACTCCTGAAAAAATAGAAATCGTGGGTCCTACCACTGCAAATGTAGAGATCGAAGTATGTTGAATGTGCAAGTAGGATTATATATGGAAGACAAATTTTCTCATAAACAGATAAATTAGAAAATTTCAAACATTTTAAATATTTTTAAAACTACACCAGGTTTATCAGAAATTTGACGCCACACAGTATGTTGGTGTAGCTCCAGACATCACGTATACCTATCACAGCCCTAATGGTGGTTCATCAGGCCATGATAACTTCAAATGGCACGTCATCACTGGGCAATGCAGTGCCTCGTGTGGAACAGGTTTGTTTGTTTGGAATAATTAATAGTTGTTCAGAAAGGGAACACGACGATTGTAATTTATAGATCTACAATGCAGATTTTCTTTCTTCTTTCATGAGTAACATCATTCCAAAATGGAAAGAGTTCGGTTTTATTTTTAAAATTTCAAGTATAGTCTAATTAAGAAATGAAGTTAAACTTAATTTTATGAAAGTTTGAACTTTTTAGGCACACAGTTGAGGACTGCGAAGTGTTTCAGAATTAGTGACAATAGTAATGTGGAGGATTACAATTGTGACGTATTTCAAAAGCCCTCAGAAACATCCGTATTTTGCAATATCCACGCGTGCCCCCCAGAGTAAGTGTAATGTTACTTACAAATCTAAACGACTTTGCTTAACTTAACTAATATTTACTCTACAAATATATTTGAATAGGAAACTAAAACCGAGAATTTGTCTGTTCTTTTACCAATTACAACTGGAAAGATTAACTGTAAATTGATCAACTTTTAGATTTGATCAAGCCATAGAGGCTCTGATGGGAACAAAAAAGAAAACATTCACATTTGAATAATCGAACTCTGGTACTCAGAGAAAAAGTCGTCCAAAGATACCAGATATAAGATAAATATCGACAGAAAATTTTATAAGTTCTGTACTTCAACATATCCGTGCTATTCAAGATATCGATATCCAAGCTCCGAAGTTCAACTGTACATTTTATTGTAAAAAGTTCTACGTAAATGTTGTAATCTTGCAGTAGCATGCATGAAAGCCAACATATACATATTTAAAAGGAGTTTAAAACTAATCATCTGTTTTTACTGTAAGATGGCATGCGTTTTCCTGGGGACAGTGCAGCAAAGAGTGTGGGGGAGGGACCCACACACGGAGAGTACAGTGTGTTACCATACAAAGAAACAAATTCACCGCGGTATCGGAAAGCCAATGCAATGCAGCGAGGAAACCCAGAACTAGCGGGACGTGCAACACACAGGCGTGTGAAGTTACAGGTACAATTTCATCCCAAAAACAATATAATTCACTTTGTGATCGATTTCAACAATGACTATAAAAAAGGAGTTAAATAGGAAAATTGGGATCTTCAAATATTTTGTCTTTTTAAGGTGTACATATAAACTCTTTAGAAGACTGTTTTCAATACTTTAAATTAACTTGAAGCATACTCAAAAGCATTTTAAGGTGTACATATAAACTCTTTACAAGACCGTTTTCAATTCTTTAAATTAACTTGAAGCATGCTCAAAAGCATTTTAAGGTGTACATGTAAACTCTTCACGAGACCGTTTTCAATTCTTTAAATTAGCTTGAAGCATGCTCAAAAGCATGGAAAGAAAATTGTTATTTTAAAAAAAAATCAGTTGCAAACTTCATATTGAAACATTCAATTAAATAATATATATAAAGAGTTTTTTTTTTTGCTGAGAGACAGATATATCTTAATGGAATTCTTAATCATTCATTTTTACCACATATAATTACATCGTTTTGCTTTCAACTACACTTCAATAATGCTGTAATTTTATAAAGGATTTATTCTTTTATCTTCCTCGCTTTATTCAACTGCATAAGAAATCTTATATAGCTTTTTAAAGGAAGAATTTTTTGCTTATACTTGCTTACGACTTGCTATGTTCTGTGGTTAAGGAGTTTGCTCAGATAAAGTGGATTGCCGTGCCTATGGAAACCAGGTGTGCTCCAAATATCCAGAGTGGTCCAGGCTGAACTGTGTTAAACATTGTAATTTGTGTCCAGAAGGTACTTCTGCTTATACATAATGCTCAACTATATTAATTGTGCGTTCTTTTCAACTTCCTCTATTAAATATGAACTTTCTTTGATTGGTTCTAGTTAGTAGTTTTCTTTGATATTCTTCCACTTATTTGTTACATGTATGGTAAATTCGATAGTTTTCAGTGATCATGATTTTTCTTTATATTTATGTTATATAAATAATGTTATATAAATATGATTGGTACAGCTAAACCATGTGAGGACCTTGAGGATTGTCCAGCTTATGGAAGTAATGTTTGTACAGAGTATAAAGACTGGTCACAAATCAACTGCAGAAAACACTGTGGATTCTGCAATTCCGGTAAACCATTCGCTCTCTTTAAAAACATCATTGTCGTTTCAGAGAAGTAATAATTTGAAAAGAGTATTATAATATTCTAAAAGCATAATCGATTATATTGATTTGCTTTTAAATGTATCGTCATTAGAAGGCAGATTTTCCAACTTTATAATTATACAGAATATATAATTTATTTGCCAGTCCCACTTAGGGCATAACATAGATACAGGCATAATTTGTAACACAAATGAGGAAAGAATATGTAATGTAAAGAAGGTATATGATCTTTATGTAATGTAAATTAAGAAGGAATGTTATCTTCATTCATGATAATTGTGAAAATTGAAAAGCAAATTGATTGTGCTAAAATTATCGGCGTAATTTGATAAATATGAGTGGAGGTTAATTACTCTTTTGTTAATTAAGGTGGTTCCAATGTGGTGGGAACAGGTGGGACCTGTTCAGACAAAGTCAACTGTGATGAGTATGAAGATGATATCTGCACCAATCCTCAGTTTGCTAAATGGTCCCGAGAGCAATGTCCCAATTGGTGCAATTTATGTACGTTTTTTTTCTTTGATGAATCGAATGCATTTTTTCTCTGATAATCTTTTCATTGAAGAGCCTACACTTTTAGAATCTGTTGCTTTCTTTATTCACCACTATCAGATTAATGTTTATTGGTGATCTTAATTTAGAAGTTTTTAAATCGTTTGAGGCAATTTTGTCTTCAATGTAATAAAACTATTTAAATCTGCCTATTTTCTTATATTTAAGGCGAAAACACTTCGAGTGGATCTGGCAGTACAGACACACAGACGAATAATGATCCTTGTCAAGACAAAGTTAAGTGCAGTGAATATGGAGGTGACGTATGCACAGCATACGGACCATGGGCACATAAAAACTGCGCACGTCACTGCAAGTTTTGTCAACGTATGTGAATATATTTTGAAACAATTTTTCAAGTTTGCATTTTTAATTTGTTTCCATTTTAACTGTGTCTGTTTAGGAAAGTTTTGTACATTATTGACTTTTTTCCTTAGCATGTACGGATAAACTGTCTGATTGTGCTGACTATGGAAAGAGCTCATGTACTGGAAATTATGAAAAGTGGGCAAAACAAAATTGTAAACTTTACTGTAACTACTGCGATGGTAAGTAGACATGTAATTAGAGTGTTTAATTGATAATACTGTTTGATCGATGTCTTGTCAAGTAATGTGAAACATTTAGATTTATATATTATATTCATATTTAGCTGTAAGTGTAAACACAAGCTCTGGAACATCGCACCAGGGAAGTTCAAATCATGCAAGTAGTAGCAGCAGTAACAATGTCCAATCATCATCTTCTAACGTTGCGAGTAGCGACCCCTGTCGGGATGTAGAGCAGTGTAATGAATATGGTGATAATATTTGCATTGAGTATGAGCCATGGGCAAGGAAAAACTGTGCACGTCACTGCAAATTTTGTGAACGTGAGTTTTTGAATTACAATTGCCTTCTTACTGTTTGTTTTCTTTTTATTTGTGTTTCCGATTCCGTATGAAGCTGAAATGTAAGTGATGACTGCGTACAGTTAAGAAATAATTGACGTCATATGCTATATTAATGCATGGTGAAAACGAATTTCTAATGCTTTTGTGAATACTATAGCATGTAAAGACGCGATTTCGGACTGTGCAGCATATGGGAAAAGTTCTTGTACAGGTGTTTATGAATCATGGGCGAGAAAGAACTGCAAACTGTATTGTAACTATTGTGGAGGTAAGACGCTTAATTTCTTACAAAAAGTTTTTAGAATTCAGAAAACTGATAAATTACAATAACAATCATGTTTTAAATGTATATGAATTTTTTTTTATTACTTGTGCTTTTTTATAAGTAACAGTACTTCATTTCTATTAGTATATTAATGTACTGTTCCATTTATTCCCTGTATAAGGTGGTTCCCAATCAGACATTCAAAAAACTACAAAAATAGTAACAACCACTGCCCCAACAACACCCGCTGCTGTTGATACTACTATTTTAGTCAGCAGTGACCCGTGCAGGGACCTTGAGAGGTGCGAGGAATACGGAAGTGACGTATGCACTGGGTACGCAGCCTGGTCCGAAAAAAATTGTCGCCGTCATTGCAAAATCTGCCAACGTAAGTTTTCGTCTAAAGAGGCAATGAATCCATAAATTCTTTAATTGAAAACCAAGATAAAATTTTAAAGCAATGTTGGACATAAACGTAGTTTCAAGTATGATCAATTTATTAAAAAAAAAAAAATACAGGGCATGTATTCTGGTCCAAGGAAAAGTAGTTTTAGATGTCACTTTATGAAAGAATTTTTCACAGCATGCAAAGATGCAATAAAGGATTGTGCAGACTATGGTAGACAAGCGTGTACTGGTGGCTATATTCCCTGGGCAAAAAAGAATTGTCAACTGTATTGTAACTTATGTGGCACCGATACCACAAGTAAGTCTCGGAACACTCGTGTATAAAGAAAATGTTTCGTTTTAATTTTTCCATTTATTTCATGTTAACTGTTTACAATGCAGAAATGACTGTAACCATTTCATCAGTATTGTACGATAGAGTAAATTTGATTGCATCTTTAGAGAAAAGAAAACTTGTGTACTTGATCATTACAAAAAAGTGTTGTATTCCTTACAAGGAAAAAGAGTAAATTTACTCATGTACTGCCGGGAAAAAAAATCACAATATAAACAAGTTTACATAATTTTATTACATTGACAATGGAATTCATATACATATGTGAGAACAGAACTGCAATAACGTGGAGTGTTGAATTAAACACTGTGAAAGTGATTGTTCCAAAGCCGTACGTATGCTTAACGCCGGGTAACCAAAAACACAAATCGAGAATTAATCTTTTCACCCTTTTCGATCTTTTGCTGTGCCAAGTCCATAAAGTGGAACAAATGTCGTGCATCGGGACCCAACTTCAATTCCTCTTCTGATACAGTATTGTTATCCTCCTGTCCTTCGTTGTTACTAAAATCCATCTTCCATCCAGCAAATTTGTATCCTATCAATCCAATCAATGTACACAATAGTAAAATGCTGGCAAAGATAAGAACGTCTTGCCAGATAGAAAGATGTAGGTCTTGAACATCTCTATTATGAGGATCAAGACGCAGGACGTCTTTTTTCTCGGTGGCTTCATGCCCATCGTTGCTTCCTTTCAGCTTCTCGAATCCCAGTTCTTCCAATAGGGAATTGTAAGCTGGAACACTACGTGTTTTTGATAAGTGATCTGCGTGTATTGGAGCAGTATAACAAAAGGGCAAAGTCAGAGCCGCTCCCAAGACAAAATATTTAGACTTCATCCTTCGTTACACTTACAACACTGTTTGCTACACTTTTAGAAGTATGATTGTGACGTCACAGTACTATTTATAATGTAAATGTATTGTGACCTCATAACAATCGGGTCACATGTCACGTGACGAATTTGATTACGTCATAATCTCTATACTAAATTATTACAATCGACCACAGGCACTTGTTTCGGAAATAAATTTTTAACCTATGGTATAATAATTATTATACCATGGGTTAAAAATTTATTTCCGAAACAAGTGTCTGTGCATTCGACACATCACTCGACTTGACGGAAAAGGCCGAGTGATGTTCCTATTGATACGCATCATCTCGGGTCTTTCCGTCAGGAGTCGGGAATTTCATTGTTTTGACATTCATATCAATAATTACATATTTTTAGCTTCAGGTATAATTTTGAAACAGTTGATTAATAGCCTATTTCAGGTATTAGACGAAACAGGAGACATTAATTTTCCTAATTTTTGCTTAGACCTTAGAATATATTTTTGTATTGATGTCTTTTATCATCTTGAAATGGCCTCTGTCTGCGTAACACTGGTCTCGCAATGTTGTTTACCCCTTAGAAAATGTTTTCGTAAAGCGTTTTTGTCACACGTTAAGTTTGCTGATCGGGTATGCAACACAGGACTCAACTTCATGTTTCTGTTCTACAGTTTACTAAATTGAAGGACGTCCACCCATGGTCAATAAGACAAGAAATATTGCGTTTGTATATATACACATATATATATATTACATGTTAAATGATACGAACAGTATTCAAGATCAAAAGTCCATAAAACAGTACAAAATAGGAGCAGAGCAAACACGGACCTCCAAAACATCAGAGTTGGGATCAGGTTAAAAAAACTATGTTTTAACAAATTTCGCTGATATTCAAAAATTTAGATGTATAGAAATGATTAATTAAATTTATTTATAGCAACCACTTCTACTACAACAACTACTACTACCACCACTACTACCACCACAACAGCGCCACCTACAACTGTGGTAGTCAGCAGTGATCACTGCCGTGACAAAATCAACGACTGTGACGAGTACGGCGATGACGTGTGCACAGCTTACGCTTCGTGGGCAAAAATAAATTGCAGAAGACATTGCAAATTCTGCCAGCGTGAGTGCTAAGGTTGTACAAAATTACGTCAGAAATGAGAACGGATTGGCTTTTTTATAAACTAATTCACTGCAACATTCAAAAATAAGATGTAGCCTTATATTTAAAGTTTGTCCATTTGCAATAATTTTATTCTCTTAGCAAAAGAAAACAAATTGAGGGAGATTTTTTTCCCTTTTTGTTTGCAGCTTGTAGCGACAAGTTGTCAGATTGTGCAAGCTATGGACGAAGTGCTTGCAGGGGACGTTACGAAAGCTGGGCCAAGATAAACTGTCAGCTGTACTGCAACCTGTGCGAGTCAAGGACTAAACGTAAATACTCTAACTGGTCCTATACACCTCGATTGTGTTTCAATTTACAAAGATTTGTAGGAAGCCTCTAGAAAGTAACTTTATCTACATGACGTAAATTGTGTCATTTGTGAGTAAAATATTTTTTTGTTTAAATTTTTAGGTTCTGCTCTGCACGTTCAAGCACCAGAGAAAGGTGAATTTAATGATGATCGTTTAGAGTCGGATTTGATAAACATGAAAGACAATAATGAAATACTTTTGGTTCCCAGTAAAAATCCTTACAGTACCGAAATAAGACTAACGGAACCAGTAACCCATAATTCGGTTCCGTCCAAAGTTCATCTCGTTCCCGAGATTGTTAACAAGAATTCTGTTGGTGAGGTTCCAAACGAGGGTGGAGGAGTGCCGCTCCGTCCAGTAGAGGAGTATTCGGAGGGTCGTTTACCCTCGGGAGGGAACAGTCTGGATATAAACGAAAATATCCCGCCGGAAAAATTGAACTCCAAGGAAGAAAGTGTGATCGATGAAGTTCAAAAACTAGAAAATATGGTGGAGGATAGCGCCAAAATGTGAAAACTCATAACTTGTGAATCTCTTGTTTTGGAAAAATTAAAAGATATTTTGTAAATTTTGTAAAATGGATATCAATTCAGATCCAAATTATAGTAGTAAATTTTGTCAGCCTGCAATCAATTTCAATTCTTTCGCGTATTCTTGAGATTAAAATTGTTTTCTAAATAATAAATTCAAATTTACATTTAGTTAAAGCAAAACATGTGAATAATCAAGAAAAAGAGGAGTCAACGTAAGCTTATTGAAAACGCTATGCTGTAGGATAATGATAAATTATGTTCTGTTTCTTTACGTACAAATGCTACGTAAGATAAGAGGTTTATGGGACATATCATTCACCTGATAACATGGGCTACGTAAAAACAAATCAGCTGAGTATTGGAAAATTAATTCGGGGGGAGGGGGGATTTTATACTACTTCAGAATGCCACCGAATCAATATACTAGTAGTTATAGCTTACATGTATTAAACTTGAATCCCTTTTACCCAAAGATACTTTGTGGCAAGTTCGAGTGAAATTGGCCCAGTGGTTCCTGAGAAGAAGAAGAAAATATGAAAAGTTTACGACATCGACGACGACAGCAACGACGACGACAGACAACGGTCAAATGATCAGAAAAGCTCACTTGAGCTTTCGGCTCAGGTGAGCTAAAAAGTGTTTGTAAAACACTGATGTTTCCGTATGGCTGCATGCTCACGGCTAAGGTTTAAGATTCTCAAATGCGAATCACACTACAAAGGCATGGTCAAGAGATAAAAAAAAAACTGGTACCAAAAGGAGGTTTTGTCAAAATTTAGGAATACACCTGCGAATATGAATAACATATTCACAAGTAATGGTATCTTTCATTCCCTAGTCAAACGGTCAAAAACTGGTACCAGTGTTAAGGTCTTGTCACAGGAAGTACTTTTTGAAATATGAAAGCCCTAGCAACATTGTGCTGAAGGTTAAAGATTTTCAAAAGTTGGTCGAATTCCGAGGTCAAGGTCAAAACTATTGGTACCCAGGCCCTGGGATCATGAAGCATCTTAGGCTTACGTCAAAATCTTTATGTTGAAGTCGAAATCAAATTGAAATATTTCTAATTTTATTTTGTTACAAATGTGCTTTTTCTGCGAATATTAATTCAATTAAGAGATAACTCTAATTTTTTGGTTTCATATGATAAATCAATTGGCTTGTGTGATAATTTGCAGAGAGGTTTAATCTGACAACTATTCCTTATATTTTTACATACAGGACCGTAGCATCGATTTTGAAAGTGGGGGGGGGGGGGGCAGCCACTGAAATTTTTTTTTTACCCACCTGAAAAAGTTGACAAGCAAAAAAAAAAAAAAAAAAAAAAAAATGGAAAATTGCCCAAAGTGCCCGCACGTGATTTTTCAGTTTAACCGCGCCTATTGATGAACCAGTAGATTTATGTAGAAATAGAGTACTTTTACAATTTGTAATTTTTATTCGGACAAAGGCATTGGAAATATTAATATTAATTAAATATTTTAATGGTGATTGAAAATTTTACTACAAGTATCTTTCCTGATCTTAAGGCAGGCACGTAGCATCGTTTTTGAAAGGGAGGGGGGGGGGGGGCAACCAAAGAAAAAAAATTTACTTACCTGTAAAAGTTGACAAGCAAGAATTTCGGGGGGGAGGGGGGGGGGGTAGTGGCCAACTTTTTTTTCAAGGCCAACTTCCTTTCACTTCCAATTTTTTTTGCATACAATACTACATTTCCTTGACATCACTATACTGTGCTAAGAAGTGGGTGGGCCAACCATCCTTTCAGTGTACATTTTCAATAGTAAAGGTAACGTTGGGAATGAAAGTGCACACAGGCCCCCCTGCCCCCCCCCCCCCCCCCCCCCCCCCCCCCCCCCCCCCCCCCCCCCGCGCCTGTTGCTACGTGCCTGTAGGGCCAGGGGGAATGACTTGACACAAGAAATGCGCGTAAAAGCCCTAGCTCCAATCATTCAAAACATGGCTATTTCTTTCCTTTTTATCAAAGTTTAATGTCATGAGCACTGCTGCTTCAGGAAAGGATTTAATTATACCTATAGGAATACAACAGTTACTGTTTAGTCTGAAACTGTTCAAACACTGGCAAATGTTCAAATTTGGTAAAAATTTGTAAAATGGGCCAAACTCTACGGCCAACAGATCATATGCTTTAGTACAGAAAGAAAGGTCTTGCCATAAAGAATACAATGTACAAATATCAAAGCCATAGTTCCAACCAAAGGTTTTGCGGGCAAACAGACAAACGGATCGACAAAGCAAAGCGCCTATTCCCTCAGATATTCGATTATATGGGGCTTAAAATATGCAGCTATCAGGAGGTCCTTGAGCCACGATGCTCAACTAACTCTCTTTGGTCTTCTAATCTGGATCGGCTTTTTTATGCCCCCGTAATCGAAGATTCGGGGGTATAGTTTTTGTCGTGTCCGATTTTCCGTCCGTCTGTCCCTTTGTCCGCAAAATCTTTAATCTTGCCCAAAATTTTTGATTTACTGGAGCTATGACTTTCATATTTCACACGTGTATTCCTTGTGACAGGACCTTTCTTTGGGTACCGCCAAACGTGAGAACTTTTGATTTTGGAGATTGGCCCCCCTTTAACACAAAAATTCAAAACTTTTACTTTGGCCATAACTTTTGAACGGTAAAGACTAGGACTTTCATACTTTGTGACAAGACCTTTCACTGGATACTAACAACTTTGACCTTAACGTGGGATATTTACGTACTTTAAAAAAAAACTTTTACCTCGGTTATTACTTTTGAAAGGTAAGGGCAAGGGCTTTCATATTTCACATATGTAATCCTTGTGGGAAGACTTTTCATTGGTACCAACAACTTTGACCCGTTGACCTTGGAGTTTGACCCTCTTTTTAAAAACTTTGACCTACTTTTGAAGGTTAGGGCTTTCATACTTCATATTTAATCCTTGTGACAAGACCTTTCATTGGATATCAAGAACTTCGACCCTTTGACCTTGGAGTTTGACCCTCTTTTTAAAAACTTTAACCTTGGCCATAACTTTTTAAGGGTTAGGGCAAAGACGTTCATACTTCACTTATGTAATCCTTGTGACAAGGTCTTTCTTTTGAAACCAACAACTTTGACCCTTTGACCTTGAATTTGGCCTACCTTTCAGAAACTTATCCTTGGCCATAACTTTTGATCAGGTGGTGTTAGGACTTTCGTATTTCACAATTGTATTTCTTGTGAGAAGACCTTACTTTGGGTACCAATACATTTAATTTGCATTTCAGAAAAGTTTAATCTTCGCTATGTTGCCACACGGGGGCATCAGTGTTTCACAAACACATCTTGTTTTCAGTGCATATGCATTCCATTGTATAATTTTGATTATCTTTCATGACCTCACCTTTACACAGGGACCATGATTTGGAACTTCCAGAGGATGCTTCTACTTTAATATGTTGTGACTACAATATTCGCATTCTGTATTAATGAAAGAATGTTTTACAACACAATGACCTGGCCCTTGTTACTGGCCTGCCAATTCTGATGAATTTATCGGAACATCGAAATTTGGCTGTAAACTTCGAAAAATAACCCCCTACCCGTCCTGTGGTAGTACTACAACATTATTGGTACTACACCTTAATAAAATGTTAAGTAGAGAGAAAATAGAACTTAAAACGCGCGGTTCAACAATAGCGTATTCATAAAGGAAACACATGAAAGTATATATACTGTACTTTATGGTAACTAATTATATCAATACACTTAATACATTGAATACAATTCATATCGTGCAAGTAGTGTTTAAATCAATAGAGAGACCAAGATGTGAAAAAAAAAAATTAACCGCATCATAAAATGCCAAAACCCATCATATAACCATCCTATAACCAATTAACCTTCATGCCCATAGAGTTGGACGGTCATCCCACCCATCCCTCTTCCTGTAAGAATTAAACTTGCTTCTTGAAAACATTGAATGCAAAGTTCTTAACTGTGGCAGATTTAAATAAACAAAGATGAACTTTTTTTTGATATTATATGACAATGACAACACAAAAAAATGGTGGAAAAGATTAGCTTAAAGATGTATCAAACGTCGTTTTAACGAAGAATGTTCTGTCTGATTGGGTAGTCCATCTTTAACATACATCTTGTAGTTTCCCATATCTGTGTTAATAAAGGGTGCATGCAACTACACTCACAAACACAATGCTGCTCTATAATGTAAAGAGAATGAATCGCCAATCATGTGGAATGTTAATTTCAAAACAGAAAGCAACTGGACCTGTAAAACGGTTAGTTTATTCAAACTGTAAAAACAAACAAATCAAATATGTTGTAGATATCTTGACTATAACTATATTGCACTGTTAATCATTAAAACAAATCATAAATGTATATAATAATTATTAGTTTGATTAGTGACACAACACAATAATGCATGCTGGGAAATAAAAAACAAAATCATGAATATTCATGAAGATATGCAGAGATGACATTGGGAGCTTTCATAACATTTATCAGTGGCCATTGGAAAGCTTGCTAGTGGTTGATTATGAAACAGCAAAGCATATCCCATAACTTTTTTTTGCTGCAGTAAAAACACGAAATCAAATATCATGACTAGAGATCTATGACTTGGTGTCAAAATACACTGTACTAGCGACATTCTAGGACTCAAGTGATCAAATTTGCTTGTTATTCCAAATTTTCTTATATTCAAAATATTAGATAATGCCTTTTCAAATCTTTCTTAAGGTTAGATGACACCTTCCTCAAATATCTGCTTTATATATTTTGTAATATATATGTATGATATATAAATATTCAAAATTCTAAATACATTCCGATTTCTAAACGAGTTTTTAATCATTTTAAAAAATTGAAGCACTAAAAGGGTTGATTTTGGAATATCAAATTTTATCCCAAATAGATTATTTCATATAAGAAACAGTACCCTCTGATAACTTGCACAAATGCCTGGTTAGGTACCTTAATTTTTTTTGTGAGTAAACATATTAAAGTAATAATTCTTTAATGACAAAATCTTGGAAAAAATTATATATTATTGAGGAATGTATCATCCATCCTTTAACTGAGAGTGTGTCAAGCAAATTCACTGTATTATTAAATGAATTATTTCTCTTTAGATGGCAGAAAAAAGAAAATGTCCACAATAAAAACCACTTCTGGACGGAGAAGTAAAAATACATGCATATCAAACATTTACGAAAATTAGCTAAGCTTAATTAAGAAAAAAAAATATGTTAATGTCAAAAATAATCAAATTAGGTATCTTTGTCAATTCATATATATATATATATATATATATATATATATATATATATATATATATATATATATATATATATATATATATATATATCAATTTTCAGATTTCTTCTGATGAAGAAATTGACTTCAATGGCAACAAATAAAAATATAGAAAAAATGACAATCTAAAGGGAATGTACAAAGTTTGGAATGGTCTTAAATCTATAAATGTAAATCATGCAATGCTGATTTTGAATCTAGTGTAAAAATCAATTACAGTATTTCATTAAGACAAGATTAGTGGCACACAGGTTAAAAAAAGCAATTTAGTTTCAGATGGCACCGTATTAGTATAGTACATGTATGTATGTAATTTTTTCAATGCGTAGGAATAAATGCTAAATAGAAAGTGTAACATATTAAAAGCACTCAACTAAAAAGTTGACAATGTGTTCAAAGTTAAAAAAACAGGCCATGAAAAGAAAACATTTAGCCATAAACTAATTTTCCTTATCAAATATTTTTTCAGTACAATTCAAATTTTGAGAAACTATAAGACAAAATAAGTTCATAAAAAAAACACAAAAATCTAGCACTCCTTTGTACAGTAACCACTGTTTTGTGTGTTTTTCTATGGAGTGACTGTAAAATTATTTACTTTGTAGAGGCTTTCATCACCAATCCTAGAAAACAATATATAATCGAATTCAAGACTTCCAAGAAATATCAAAAAAGATATTTTAAAAATATTAAAATCTGATGTGTATTCTGGCCCCTACAAAAATAAATGATTTCACAGAATTTATGACTAGGATAGCACATAATAAAAATTTTATACAATACTGTTGTTCTACATGCTGAATTAAAAATAAATATATAACAATATGACAATGGAATGGTCTAAGGGAATAAATACGTCAACTTCTCTGCAAACTAACAACATACACACAAAACTCTTAAAGCTTATCTCTGCTACAGAAAAAACAAAAATTATAAACTCAAACAATGACTTACAGGACACACAGAGAAAACAAAGATATTCCCAAATAAACTTTCTCAGAATTTTTTACTCCAATATTTAGATTAAATATTTTTACCAAACAATTTTCCTTAAAAGTCTATGCTAATAACAATCTTTAAAATAATTCATTTGTTTGTTGAACTTGATTTTAACTACTTTGTAGAGAATCCCATTATGTAAAAGTTTAGTAAAATAAATTCTAAAAATAAATTAAAAACAAAATAATACATGTATGTTCAAACATACTAAAAAAACTTACAAAGCTGAGAAATGTGAGTTTGAAGTGTTATATGGTGCACAGTCAGATACAGTCATGCTCTCATTCAATCTTTTATAATCTTGATTTTTCTTTCTTTCAGACTTTGTGTTGAAAATTTTCTCTCATTCAATCTTTTGCTATCTGAACTTTCTATCATTCTTGCTCTATCTGTCAACACTTTCTTCTTCCAGGGGGAAAAAGAGTTTTCTCTCTTGACAAAACTTCTTGTGTATTGGCCAGTCTCTCTGTTGGCAATATGCACCACAATATCTGAATATTAAATGAAAAAGCAATTCTTTAACATCGTGATATCAAGACCTTGCATCAATTTCAAACAATTCCCAACTTTCAAATTACTGTAAAACAACAAAATTAAAATGATTTCTGTGCAACAAAGTATGCAAAATTGTATAATAACTCTTGACATGAATTAAAACTTACATTTTCTCTTAAGGTCGGGCACCAATGATTATACATTTATACATTCATGAATTTTATTAAGCAATTTTTCAAAGAGCCAATATGACAGACCTGACTTCTTGACAGCGTCCACAGATACTAAATTCTTTAACTCTCTTTTCCATATTTGTACAGGGAGGGTAGTGACATTCATAATAAACACAGACTTCATCTGAATCAAAAAAAAAAAGAATGCTCCATAATACACATAATCTTGAACCCAAACATTAAATTCCAAAGTCTATATCATTTATTTCCAAATTTTTTTATTTTAATAAGCAGTCTTAATATTAGATCAAAATTATGGTGTTCTAAATGCTTTAAAACAAAACTATCCAAATGATATATATCAGTTATTCACTTTGAATTGCTAATTTACCATGGTCTATATGGATATTTTCTCCATTGGGACTGAACTGTTTTGTGTAGACATGTGTAGCTGGATAGTGCTAAAACAAATAAAAAGCATTAATCAGTAACATCAAATATCTGTGACAATAACTCAATACCATACAATTTGGACCATGTGAACTATTTTAAAACTAGTAAGAAAAATTAGCCTCTTTATATGCACAAGCAAATTAAAAGAACAAGGATCCCCACTTTCAGTGTCTTTAATAGTGATGGGATGCAATAAATAATGGCATGTTGTAATTGTCTTCTTTGTATATCCTTTCTTGTCTGCCCATTATTCAGAAAAATTTAAAGTTTTGAAATTTTAAAAGATATGAATAAAGTTTTCAAAATCTGCAAAAAACTTCAAGATCAAGGTCATTAGGTCAAATATTGTATTCATATCAAATCATAACAAAGGAATACATTAAACATGCTTATATACCCATATATAACATGCGTCTGTAACATTCAGAGAGAGATGGGGTAAAATGTATTGATTTACATGTAGTACAATAACTCACACATTCTATAGGGGCCACTTGGAGCTGTTGAACTGCCATCCAGTACAATGAGTGCTCCCTGTTCTTTGTAGAGGGGAGGTCCTCGTAGACAAGTTGTGTATCCACGGGAACCAGCATCAGGTTCTCCAGGCGATTGTCCACTGACACCCCATTCTTGTGGACCACCTTCCAGCCCGCTGCTATGCCTCCTCGATGTCTTTCCCTGAAAAATATCAGATATGTCAAAATTATGCAATCTTCTTTGCAATAACTATGGCAATGAGTATATATATTTAACACATCTCACAACACATTAATTTACCCATAATTTAAATGAAAATGCTGAAATTTAAATTACAAATACAGTTGAACTTCGGTATCTACAACTCTCGAAGTATCTCGAACTCTCGAATACCATGCATATGTCGAAGTGATTTGGAAGTCTCAACCAAATGTATATTCTTTCAGTATTTTACCTTTGATATCTCGAATCTTTGGATATCTTGAAGTTTTTTCTCAGTCCCATCAGGTTCGAGATAACGAAGTTTGACTGTACACATATTTTTATGCCCCTGTAATTGAAGATTCAGGGGTATATAGTTTCTGCCCTCTCTGTCCGTTTGTCTGTTTATCCACAAAAACTTTAACCTTGCCTATAACTTTTGACTGGGTGGGGCAATGACTTTCATATTTCAGAGATATATTCCTTGTGACTAGACCTTTCTTTGGGTACCACCAAATTTGACCTTTTGACCTTGGAGTTTGACACACTTTTACACAAAAATACCAAACTTTTACTTTGGCCATAGCCAGTTGTGCTAGGACTTTCAAACTTCACAAATGTAATCCTAGTGACAAGGCCATTCTTAAGAAACCAACAACTTTGGCCCTTTGACCTTGACCCTGGAATTTGACCCACCATAAAAAAACTTTAACCTTGGTCAAAACTTTTGAAAAGGTGACACTAAAGCTTTCATGTTTCACATTGTATTTCTTTTGAGAAGGCCTTAACTTTGAGTATCAACATATTTGAATGTATTTGAGAGAGTTTAACCTTTCAGTTTGCTTATTATGTTGCCATAGGCATTAGTGTTTCACAAATACATCTTGTTTTCATGAGGGATTTGAACTCACATTTTATCAAATGTGTGCCATATTTCTCATGGGGAGGTAATTAATGTTTGATGTCATGATTTTCAAAAAGATTATTTCTGCAATCAAAACCAGGTTACACCCACAACATAACTACTTTGTATCATGTCTACTGATCATTATCAAAGATATTTTAACAGCAAATGGAAATTTAACCACTGAGCCAGAACTCACAAGTAAACAGCAGTTTAATTAACAATCTCTCAAGCCAGGGCCATTATCTCGATTGATCTATGACAATCCACTCTAACATACGGAGGAAGAGAAGGCTAAATGCCTATTGATCCTACACAGGAGTGTCTCCAATAATCTTAATTGATTAAAACAAAGTGTTTTCTGTATACAGCTTATGAACAAACTGCTGCACAAACACCACTAGATCAATCAGTCTCACTGTTTTAGATGGTTATTGTCATATTCTTTGTTTAGAAACAATAAACAGTGTCAGATGATAGGAAATAGATCTTCTTTCCTCAATAAGCCATTTCTTGAGTACATACTAAACTAGGATGTGACAACTGTGCAACTCTCAACTGAAAAGCTGTCAATACAGTCTTTTTACCCATTTATAGTAGCCAGCTACATTTTTCTTATTAAGAGCATTAATATTATTGTCTAAACAAGAGCAAGTCATAATAAACAAACTGTTTTCAATTAATATTTTGCCTTTTTTTCTTAAAATATTTCAGATTTAGTGACCACTTTGTTATTTACTTAAGCTACTGCCTTGTTAATCTCTTTATTACATACGAGCTTTCTTAAAATAATGCTGGTATCTGTAAAACTCATCTGGGCTTTTGCAAAATAAAATTTCCCTGATTTGTCTTCATTATCTGTAAGGCACCGAACATCCTATATATGTACACACACTATGACTGTGTACAAAGAAGATTATATCAAGGAAGAAGGAACTTGTGCTACTGATGTAATATACTCTATCCATTTACATTTAGTAGAGACAGTGTTATCTAACAGCAGAGTCCAATACCTCATCACATCCATGTACAATGGTATATACATGTACTAACAATGATTCATTTTGTTTTGCGTAAAGCCCTGTTATATATGAACATATCATACAATTATGGACTTCAGTGTAGGTCGATATGTGGTTATAAGGACTCATGGCAATTGATATTGACTGAAGACACAGAAAGTGATAGCGACCGAGCCTGATAATATAAAACATGTACTAAATATTACCATAAGAAATCATGTAGAAATTGGCCTGATTCCTTTCCCTTCAATAAGTTGTATGTGTAAGCAAAGATATTGGCACCATTGCCATCTGGATCAACTTCTACTCTGGCCTGAAAAATGAAAAAAATAAATTACTTTAAACGTTCAGTAATATATTTTTACTTAAGTGTACAAGTTTGCGAATTTTACTTTAAATTCTGCTAATAGCTGAACATCAGTTTTCAAAAACTACTGTAAATAACTTTCACTTTCCCCAGAACTTAATTTTCACATAATTACCCTGGACACTCTGCTCACAAAAATCTTATCCTTGCACATATTTTTCTTAGCAAATATATACAACAATAACTTAGAATTACTGAAAATTTCGTCTCAATTTAAAATAGTAATTATCTTTCTCATGAAAAATTAGATGTCATGGAAACTAATGATCATCTACAGACTTTAAATAATTTAATTTTATTACATGATGTACTGTCCCAAACTACCTCAGGGGTCAAACTTTGAACAGACTCAAATCTATGCTATGTAATGAAGCTTTCATACAAGATTAAACCTTTTGCCTAAGGGATATAGAGAAGATTTACAATTAAATTTTCACCAATTCTTAATCATCTCCCCCTAGAAAGCAGATGTGACCTTCATTTGTAAACTCTTCAATCTTAAGGACATACGCAACCTACCTTACCTACTGATAATTTTCCAAGATATTCTAAATTTAAACTTATAATATCATTACATGTTCTTAGACAAAAAATCAGCATGCGTTTCCAGGGGTTTTGAAAAGATATCGAATTTTGAAAATTTTTGCATTATTCAAATAAAAATATATAAAAATTACAAAACATAAATTCCAGATTTTTTTTCATCAAAAATTGTTTTTGAAGAGTTGTACAAATACATATATAAACATTAAAAATAGTGTACACAGGCCCTTCATTTAGTGGAACTCTTCAACTCTAGGGAAGAACCCAAAAAAGTTCAAACTACGTTGCGTATGACCTTAAGATGCTTTGTGACAAATTCTGTTGAATTGGCTCAGTGGTTCTGGAGGATATGAAATTTTGAAATATATAAAAATATATGTAGATTCATTTTATATAGTTTTTCAAAAAATTGAAATAACATTTCTGAGGTTTTTTTGGGTGGAAAAGTGATTTCTACTGCATGGACACACAGAGAGACATTGAAAACAGAGTCTCTTATGTCTGCCATACAATGTGGAAAAAATAATGTTATACATTTAAAAAAGTGTTATCTTATCTCTCTAAATGGTCCCAACTGTAAAATCTTTATCCTTTAAATCTTCAAGGTAGTAAATACTATAGAAGTACAAATTTCTGAGGGGAAAAAATTAAGTTTTGGAAAATTTCATGGGCATTAAATTTCAGTGTTTCAAGAGTAACCCTATTATATATACAGTCACATAAATATCATGTGGGATTTAATTTCATTAATAATTTTTAATTACTAAATTAAATCCCAAACGAATATTTCTACTTTTACAGTAATAATTTACTAAACATGCCTGACTATTTAGCAACAAAAATTAAATTAATTTTGTCAAGTGCCCAAGTATGAACAATTTGCTAGCTGATTCAAGAACTGCATCGATTAGATCCTACATGTCTTAGCAACAAATACTGCTATCTGTTCTGGATTTAAATCTTTGATATAAAACTGAACAATCTATCTGTTCAAACAGGGACTTTAAACTTACAGTACAATATCTTAGCCTTATTTTATCAAAGAAAAAAATCAATCCTCTTCCCCCAACCCTTTCAAACTAAAAAAGTGGTATTATTGATAAAATATTACCTCAAATGCATACTGGTTGATGAGACCAATATCTCTTTCATCAAGAAGGGCAAATTTTACCTGCAAGAATCAGAAAGTAAAAATTGTTTTAAAAGAACATACTTAGAAGTCTTGATAGTTAAACTTCTTCATTTTTTTTTTTTTTTTTTTTGGGGGGGGGGGGTTACCTTTGCTTTGCAACCCATAAACTTTTATAAGTTAAAAACCTAAAATGAATAATTTTAAACGTTACAGATATAAAGAAAACAATATTTCCTTTACAAACGTCTAAATTCTTTTCTCTGTTAGGCCATAATAAAAATATTCCTAGATTCTCATCCCCACCCGCCCTGATTTTATACCCCTGCCTGATTTTTTTTATTTCTGTTTTTCTTCGTCTTAATTCTGATCAGGATCGGTATTCATCTACCATTCTACTTTCTTTTTAAATCCCGCAAAGTCGACATGATTTTGACAGCTGAAAAGATGGTAATTGCTGTAATACATGCGTATATATTTTAAACAAGGTTCATTGGTTGAAAAAGATTGGTGATGATGTGAAGTAAGAGATAATTGAACCTTTACTATGACTTTTATTCGGGTATTGTAGATAAAATAACACCGATTGACCAGGTCAATAAAAAATCTGCAAAATTTAAAAAATAAAAAATAAAAAATAAAAGCCGCCCGCCCGCCTCGATTTTTAAAAAAATTCGGATGAGAATCTAGCAATTTATTTATTATGGCCTTCCTAATGATGAATGAATATGTATATTAATTTTATACCTTCAGTGTACATGCTAAATGTTTGTCTAATGAAGGTATCCTAATAAAGTTATAAAAGATTTATCTACAACAAAGTACAATCATAGGTGTTCACAGCCCCCTAGTTTATCTACAAGTATTAACAACCTTTTATGTCTTGTTAACAGTTTATCATGTACTTCATGTATAAAAGTGACAGCATCATTAGCACCATCAAAAACACATCATGTAGGAGTTAATTAATCAAGCCTCCTACAAGCTAAACAAGTGGGGCATACATGTAGGCATACTTCATTAAAATTCTACATACACAAGTGCATATAGTATATTTTATATGCCAAAAGAAAAAATATACTTTAGAATGTCAGACTGTCCCATTTTCAAAGTCTTATACCTCATGTTTTATATTATACAAATTACAATTAACATGAAACTGAAATATATGAGTTTTAAATTACTTTTTAGGTTCATCACTGTTAAGAAAATCAAGGACCAAATCACCCAAGTATGGTATTCATCAATAATTAAAAATTTTCATTCCTCGTTTCATTTAACTTTGTCTGGGGGCTAACAACACATGAACCATATCTGTTACTTATGAAAATCTGAGAGGTTGTCCTGAACACCTGTTGGACAATATCAATAATTCACCATCTTTATCAGGAAATGAGGTTATAGATAACTGAACAATGGACACAGATTAAGTCTCATGTTATATCAAATCTGACCCACCATTAATAAGCCTGCTTTAGATAAGATGTAATCCTCAGACAGTGTCAACACAATCAGCAGACTTTTACTTACGCTTGCTTTCTACATTCTTTTACCAGGTTTATTTATCAAATAAATTTCTTATCAGCCCTGACTGATATACTACAGTTAAAAAAAAATTCATCAAGATTAGAGGTTGATTGTTGCTGAAATGCATAAAACTGTATCTTTTCTTAAGTGCATGTTTTCAAGATTTAACTAAGTCAAAGCAATGCATACTATACTCCTTAAAGCCTGCAATCATCTCAATTTTTGAAATTTGGACACTAAATGTTGTCACGGCAGCATGTGCAAGCAAGAACATATTTACAAGAGAAATTTGTCATTTAACAAAGGCAATTGTTTGGTGTATAGAAAGTCTACCCTTGTTTAATGGGCTGGTAGATTTTTGTTGGCAATATCATTTAATCTGTCGATATATTGTATCTGAAGTGCAGTGAACGGATCCAACTTAGACTTTTAAAACAAGCAGAAATTTAACACTGCCCCGTAGAATACAATAGAAACTCCATTATGGTGTAATAAGTACCCCAGGAAAGTAAATACTTTCTGAAGATCAAATTTTATTTTCACAATGTCAAATTTTTAAATTGTTCACACACATTTTTGTAAACATTTAAATTTGACAGATTTACAATCAATATTTTCATTGCTTTCCTAAATTTGCATTCATATCTGAGAAGTCTAGTTTTGAACTTCACGAAATAAACTATTAAGATTTTTAATGAAAAAAATTGAAAAATGATTGAATGTTGCTATGAAATTCAGAAATGTTGGATATTTCTTCCCAGTTATGGACAGTTGTCAATCCAATGCAGGCATTTTACAAATTGCTTCAACATCAAATGTAATTATGCCCTTCTGTGAAAAGTGGCAGATGTTTTTCCCTAGGTTTCAATATACTGTAAAGCCCCTACACACCACAGTCCATTAAATTGCATTATGTGAGCTGTAGATGTAAATGAGGGCAGCTGTCACCATATGCCAACTGCTAAATTACAGAAAGGCCTTTTTCTCAATTTTGTCTATCAGCTGTTACAAATAAGGCCACTTTTATTGAAAGATCTGAGCCATTCACAAACAATGCAATATCCCAGTTTATACTTTACTCCCCCCCCCCCCACAATTCTCAAATGTTCCTTCCATTTTTCAGGGCGAGGCAGTGGCGGATTTAAGGGGGGGCGCCCCCGGCGCGCGCCCCCCCCTAAAATTGTCAAAGTTAGCGTAAATCAAATATGTCTACTTGGTAGACCTCATTTTCACCCTTCAAAATCTCTAAAATCCAGGAGCTTCCGGGGGCTTCGCCCCCTGGGCCCCCACCAGGGCTTTGGTAGACCTCATTTTAACCCTTCAAAATCTCTAAAATCCAGGAGCTTCCGAGGGCTTCGCCCCCTGGGCCCCCACCAGGGCTTTGGTAGACCTCATTTTAACCCTTCAAAATCTCTAGAATCCAGGAGCTTCCGGGGGCTTCGCCCCCTGGGCCCCCACCAGGGCTTTGCCCTGGACCCACTGGGGGCCTCAAGGCGGCCCCCCAGACCCCTTGCCTATTTTGGCGCCCCCCCCTAACTCCAAATCCTGGATCCGCGCCTGCGAGGGATGGGATGGTTTGGGGGTGGTTATATTTATACTTTGATTACCAGGTACATTTTTAATTTAACTGAATTAAATTACAAACTTTTTTCCCTTGATATTTAATTAAACTGTAATGAATTCTTACACATATTGACATGTATGAAATTCTTCGGTTAGTAACAAATTGTGACTAAAAATATTTGGAAAGAAATGTTCTTCTAAATATACTGAAAAAATTAAATTATAGCAAAATGTTTTTTGGCACCTGTAAAATTTTATTTTTAAGCAATTAGTGATTTTCACACGTACTTAAGTAGGCTAATCAAAGCCAGTTGAAATTCATTTCCAGTAAGCTAATTTGAGCAATTGACATTATGCTGTCATCTTCGAAAAAAAAAATTCTGCTGCTGAGATGGCACAATTAATTATGTAAATGTTTCTCTTCATCAGGCCAGACTGATGTGACAATATTGTAACAGATAGTATCAAACACTAACAGCTGACATAAAACATCACGTTGTTTCCATTAATTTCAAAAGATTGTTAAAAAGAAACAATAAAAAAAGTTATCGTTAGAAGGGGATCACTAACTCAATATAAATTTCGATATATTGACAAAATGAAATGCATGCGCCATGTTGTTTACTTTCACCACAGGCGCTCTTCACAATCTGTAGTAAATTTCTCACCTTTCCCGCGGCTTTTCCTAAACTAACGATTCCTAACTTTTGACCAGACATTGCAAGATTAATCCTCTGCTGCTGGGAATCTCTCTGGTCCCGATCTTTCTGCTGTGTGCAGAACAACGTGCGTCTGTCACACCAACTCCATTCTCCCTTTCAGCTATTGTTATCGTCGATGTACCACGTGCAAACAAAACGCAGTTTCCCTCCAATGAGCGGTTCGCGATTTACCGTTCCAGTCGAGGTCAGAGGTTATGTTTACATTCTACACGTGACAAACGGGACCTGAAAACCCAGTCATATACATGACTTTCCGCAAAGACATCAGTAAATGTTCATGTATATATACATAAATTGTTTATAATCCCAACGAGTCTGAGAAAATAAAGTTGAAAAATAAAAAAAGGGGTGGTGTAAAATTTGTTTAAGATATTTGCAGAAATTGTAACAATTTTTTTTAAACGCACAATGTAAAACATTTCCCATAGCACATTAGTTTTTACTTCTTAATTAAAATTTAGCTGTCCATTTGATGGAACGCTGTACTTTGTATTGATGCAGATGTCATGGAGATCACTCAGTAGAACAAAAACAATCTCAAGATGTTTCAACATTTTTAATGAAACAATGTGTTAAAGCAATTCCTAATTAAACACATTTTTTTATTAAATACAAATGGCAAGTAAAAATACAATTACATGTACAAACAACCGAGACAGGCTTTGTCTGCACAGTCTAGCTCCCATTTTTTTTACTGAATTTATGCAACTGACTGTATTCTAATTGCATGTATGATATGTAGAAAAGCATTTTTAAAAGTAAATACCAGGGTAGATATTATCTCTTTATTCTTAATAAATTAATTCCCTCACCATGACCTTAAGTTTAGGAGATATTAATAATATTTTTAATATAATGTATGTAAAAACATAAAGCACATAATATCACATAATATATCACTGACAACTAGGAGGAAAAAATTATTCCAAAAAAGAGAACAGTTTAAAATATAATAGCTCATTGGAACAGCTAGGAAATATGTTATAAATCCACAAAAGACCATGCAACTAAAATAGCTGAAAGGTAATTAAATAAACTGTTTCCATAAATAGATGGTTTTTGGGGTTTTTTTTGTAAATGGATAGATCTGTAAGTCTAGCTGATCTGTATGTCTGTCTGATTTTATTGCCCAAAGAGCTATACATTTTTGCAGCAGAGTGCCAGAGTGATAAAAATCAAAACTCATCAGACCAAAATTTTTGTGCTTATATAGGTGTACACTCAAACAAAGATATAACATATTAATTAAACACTTATCAATATACTCATGCAGTCTTGAATTCTCATCAGTTGGTATCGGAGTTGTGATGATGTATTTTCTAATGAGTATCACAACAGTATCAAACACAAACCAACAAACACAAAAATATATTGTCACCTTTAAGGTATAAATATACAAAAAGATTAGTATTTGTCAAACAAGTAATAAGGTCCATGATATCAGTATATGTATAAATACATGTATAATTTAAACTGAACAAAGAGAAAAGAAAAGGAAACCGTTAGTAAAGAAATGAATGCATGTAAAAATAAATCCAGCAAGCTAATTCTGAGAATCTGTGTCCCATATGCTCAAGGCAAAAAAGATCTACACAATTTAAAGCTTCTTGAAATATCGCCTGGAAATGAAAGTTTTCAGAATGTTAATGATTTACAACACAATTTTTACCTTTTGACCTTAAAATAAATAAGGATTTTTCATAGGCGGCTGGCCATAAGGAGTTTTGGTATAAAATGTCATTGCTAAAGCTTAAAGGCTTCTTGAGATATCATGCAGATAGAAAGTGTTTATAAACAGACCAAAAATTTTGAATTTGTGACCTTGACCTTTTGAACTTCCTTAGGCCATAGGGAATTGTTGTGCATAACTTCTCTGCAAAAGCTCAAAGGCTTTTGTTACAGACACACAGAAATACAGACAAACTGATGGACAGACGACAGAATATGAAATTAATATCTCCCACTTTCAGCAGGGGACAAAATGTATTTGGCAAACTAGGAGATCTCATAAAGAGTAGTATATGATCATTGTAGCTGCAGAGCTGTAGCGTTGTTTTTATTTATTCATCTTTGATCATAATACTACAGATCCCGATGTGCAAATAAGGTGCAATTTATGGCGCAATTAAGATTTTTTGTGCACTGTTTGGGAGATTTTCTCTTTATAGTTATCTCTACAAAACATTAAACCCACTCGTTTTAAATTTTTTGCCATACGACAAACATTTTTAGACAATTGAATTTATCAATCTGCAGAGAAGACTATAAAGGGTTGGGAGGTGGAAAAAATATACATGTTGTTAAGTTTTTTTTAGAATGAGGGAGAAAAAGTTGATTAACCAATGTGGGAAAATGGAAAAATTCTCCCCAACAATGTGCAGAAAATCTTACATTGCCAAAATTTCACTTTATTTGCATTTTGGATCTATAACAATATGGTCAAAGACTAATTTATAAAACCATAATGCTACAGTTCTGCAGCTATGATTAAGTACACTTAATGAAATAACACTATGCAGCTTGTACAGCTGTCTACATGTTAACACCACATACACAGAACACATACCCGTGACCTTTAAAACAAGATTCTAATGCAATTGTTTTGTAAAACACGTTTTGATTGGTTAAGGCATGATGTTTGAAGCCGTAAAACGAGCATTAACGAGAGTGAAAGCTTTCCATTGTGACGTCATAATAGAGCGACGCAAATACACAATGCTCCATGACGTATTTCATATAACGAAACTCAACAAAATAAGACGTAAACAACAAACAAAATGCATGGATTGCATTAGAATGGGAATAACAAATCTTCTAATTTTGTATTTGTGACCGTTAATGCTGATTTAACGGTCGCAAACATCCGTTTTACTGGCTCCGCTTACGCGTCGCCGGTAAAACTCAGTTTGCGACCGTTAAATCAGCATTAACGGTCGCAAATACAATATTAGAAGATAGTTATTCCCTAAACTCAAAAACAGATCTACATGTAAGGCAATTCATGATATGTAAATAAAAATAAGATCCATTCTGACTAAGATATTACTGTATACAGGGAAATTTTCGCCCCTGTTTAATTTTCGCCCCTTTCGCCCTCGTCGGAAGTGGGTGAATTTAAAATGGGGCGAATTCAAAGTAAACAGCATAAAATCTTTAAAAATATACCTTCTGGGCAAATCTAAAAGGGGCAAACTTGTTTCCGAATGTGAAAGGCAGAAATAACACGGGGCGAAAATAACCCTGTATGCAGTATTCTATTGCAGTGGTACTTTAATTTATCTGAACACAGATATGTTCTAAAGCAATTTGTCCGAATTAAATAAAAAGTTATTTTTATATTTGGTGGACATTATAAAATTAAAGTGTATATTCTTTTTCTACAGAAATTGTCTAGAATGTGAAATGATTTAAGGAACAAAGTCTTGACTGCATAAAGCATTTGTCTGGTAATGCTGTATTTTGAAGATTTTTAAACTCTATAAATCTAAGACTTTTGGTGTTAAAACTGTCCTGTCTGGTGCAGAGAGAAATCGTCTGGAGACATCTGGAGTGAGATGATGCCAGAGTTAAAACTGGACACACATAAACTGAAAAATAGGTATACATCATTACATACTAAAAATCTTCATTATCTCTTCATGCCTATTACAATAAATATGGAGGGTGTATGGTGGCGTACCTGAGATCATCGTAACAGATAATGGAGGTCAGTGGACCAGATCCAGCAACAGGGAAACAGGTCAGACACTCTGCAGGACCAGAAAAAAAATAAACATTACTAAACTTAAACCTTTATTGGAAACCCCATATAAATGTGTGAAAGCTTGTCATTCTATAGGGACTAGAGTAATCAAAATCATTTGGGAAGTTGACAGTGAGATAGAAATTAACCCTGTATCCCATCGATTAATTAATATATTTAATAAGGTTTTAAAATTAGACACTAAATTATTTAATCACAATAACAGATTCAGGTTTATGTGCAAACCTTTGGTGTTCATATCCCACAGTCTAATGGTGGTGTCCCTTGAGGTGGTAGCTATGATCTTTTTTCCATCAATGGACGGCAAGAAAATGCAAGATTCCACAGCTTCACCGTGGTCCCTATATTCATGAACTATACTCCTCCCTCGTAAATCCCATAACTGAAACACAAATACATGTACATTGTATCCAATATAGAAAATTGCAACTGCAACTAGTGAGGAGAAGAATGCAATAAACCAGAACAGAATTTGAACCCCTAACCCCTTGAATTAGTAGTCAGGAAAAGGTGCTCTACCAATGGAGCTATCTGGCCACAAACAAACAAACCCATATGACCATTACACAACAAATGCACAGAATTACCAATGTTTGCCACCTATTTTATGCTTAAATGTATTGTGAATCAAAGCATCATCATCATCCTTATGGGATCAATATGCATCAGTTTTAAGCATTTCATGATATTGAATGTTAATTTTGTTATAATTTGGGATGAACTTTGACCTTACCGTGGCCTCACAACCTTTGCCACCAAAACCATTGCTGCATGTGACACAGTACAATCCATCTGGACTGACATCACATGCCATCTGAATATAATGCTTCCTGGGAAAACTGTGAACAACTTGAAGGGTTCTTGTGTCAAATAACCTATCAAAAGAAAAGAATACATTCTTGCTGCTACAGTGGCATTATTGTACTTATACCATGAAATAAAATATCCATACTAAGACCATTTTAATTGACCCAAAATTACAATCAAATAAAAAAAGCTTTCCCTATTCAAAAAAAATTTGTCATATTAAGATTTCAGTGTTAAATTTTGCCCAAAATGGAAGAAAATAAGAATGAAATTTTTGGACATGTTGATGAACATATTTTAATAATTTAAAAAATATTCTTTTGACTAAGCATCATAGATAATTTAAGATGGTGTCAAATAATTTCCCCAGAGTTTACCTGACTTCTTTGTCTTCTCCAGTCTGAACCAGTAAATGTGTGCCTGGTACAAACTTCACATCTGTCACCTATTTAACAAACATTTTATTTGTCAGTACAATTAATGCATTTCATGGCAATTCAACAACTCTGAAAATCTATTCATATCTTAAAATAAAACTTATAAAAGCTGAGGGAGGTTCCACCATAAATTTTCAGGCAGAATTAATGTCCCATAATACCCGGTAATATTCCTGTGAATATTGTGTTTTTGTTACTTACTAAGCCCTTGTGAATATTTACAAGTGTTTTATGCTTGACAAGTCCTGTGAATATTATAGTGTTTTAGTCTAACTTATTGTCCGTGGATATTTTATTGTTTTATTCTTTCTAAGTTTCTGTGAATATTGTACTATTTAACTCTTACTATGTTACTGTGGATATTGTAGTGTTTTATTTTTACTAAGTTTCTGTGGATATTGTACTACTTAATTCTTACTAGGTTTCGGTGGATATTACTCTGTAAGAGACACTGAGCAGTGTTTACATCCCAGATCTTCACATGATTGTCTCTAGATCCACTGCACAACCAGGAATCATCTAAAAATAAAGTCATAAATGAATATTCTTTGAATACAAGGTTATTTAAAAGCAATAAACAGACATTGAAAACATTATTTTCAAAATAGGGTCTACAATGTACTTTTAAAGCATTCGAATGTATGACGGTCAACTTCGTATTTTTTTATTCTAAATACTGTAGATGTGGAATATATTACAGTGTTTTTAATTTCACTATGTTCACGATTTTAGAATTTTCTGTGAACTTTACCAAAGTTCACTTACCATGGTTCAAATCAATGGCAGTCACAACAAGGTCATGGCCATTGAATTCCTGTAAACAGTTCGGATTCCCACTCCTCCACATTTTAATGGACTTATCTCTTGATGCACTGAATATGTTGTTGCTTGTTTTACCATTCCGAATCTTTGTAAATATTAACATAATGCTAAAAGATACTAGCATCCATAATAATATGACTAATAGTTATAAAGTTAAATGACTATAGACAAAACTTAGTCAAGTTATTTTGAGTACAATTTAAAAAAAAAAATAAATTAAACTTGTAAACATCACATATAAAAACCACCTACCTTTGTTAGCTCCCTTTCATGACCTGTCCATCTGTCTATTAAATTGTGGTTTTCATAATCATAAAGGGCTACTGTCTGGAAAAATGCAAAAAATATACTTAACAGCTATCAATCACAACTGTTTTAAATATGTCACAGGCGCGGATCCAGAAATTTTTTCCAGGGGGGGTCCACCCCAGTCACAAAAAAATCCAATCCCAGAAATTTCTTGACAAGCAAAAAAAAAAATAATAATAATAAAAAAAAAAAGAAAAAAAAAACAAACTCACCAAAACATCAAAAACCTATTTCGTAGGGGGGGTGGGGGGGGGGGGGTGGGGGGGTGGTGGGTAGTGGTGACTTCTATTGCCTCAAATCTTTCACTTTTCATACCCATTTCATACATATTCGCGTTTACCAGGGGGGGTCAGCGTTTTCCACAGGGGGTCCACAGTAACTTTTGTTCTTGTTTTAGTATATACATTTCTTAACCTGCTAAATTCCAGGGGGGGTCCTGACCCCCCCGACCCCCCTCTAGATCGGCGCATGTGTCAGCTACATTTGTATTCAGATAAGCATTACTACTGTGTAACACCCATGATACCTTATCTTTACTGCATGATAAACAGAGGCCTGGTTGTACAGGGGAAAGGTGAACCACAGCATCATCATGCACTGGGGTCTTAGCAACGCGGCAGGCCACAAGTCTACTATCTGATTCATTACTGTCGTCCCTGGTCTCCGAAGAATCTGTCGTACTTTTCCGCCTATTAAATCGATGAAAAAATTTCTAGTATTTCCATATTAAACATTATGCTTAAACGTCTCCTGCAGCTTTAGTCCGCACAATAAAATTTTATTTTATTTTCTCATACACTTTGGATTGATTAAAAGTTTCATTATTAAAATAAAGCTTTTATAGTGTTGTTTACAAATATGTTTCTTTTATTAATAAGAAATAGAGAAAAAAGAAATTATGTGATTATGCATATAGTCTGTCGAAAAATGTAGACACACAATTATATAGTTAAATCAAGAACTTTTGCCGGGCCTGATACTGATTGAATGACGATGAAAAAAAGGAAATTCGAACATTAACTTTTCATGATAGATCATACTGATTACCCCTTTTTACTCGAGCGCTTCCTTCCGAACAATTTTCCAAAGGACTTAAACATCTGAGCAATATTGTCACTAATAACACATCACGTTAAAAGCAAGTACTCTTGTGTCATTTGTATATTTGTCTTCTCAACTTCTTTTTGTTTACGTTCGCCTTGTTCGTGTCAGGTTAACTTGATCAAGGTTGGGATACTAATATGTTAATGCGTTCGTAATTTATTCGACCCATACAGGTAGTTTTCTTTCCTTTTATGTAAATTATAAATATTCTCTTCAAATTATAACTACCGGTATTCTATTCAACGCACATTTTATATTTTGGTTACTTCAAACATCATTCTATGATAAAAAATGTTTATGTCACTGCATAACTAATCGAAGATGGGCACACAGCAAACATGAAATTTCCAAAGCTTCCAAGTGTATAAAAATCAAATTCAGTTTGTAAATTTAATATTAAGGGCAAAGTTACTATTGAAGAGTACAAAATTACAATAGAATTTTCTGTGAAAAAAAATTGCATGATTAGATAACTCCCCAAACCCCGACCCTTGGGCCATAAAGACCTTTCTTGATTTGGGTGCACTGGATTCATTAAGAAGTTCACAAGTTTTGTACCTACTGCAGACTTTTCAAGAGAAGAAGCTGAAAATATTATAAAGTTTCTCTGAGTGATGCATGACTGACAAAAACAAATAGAGATCTGTCAATTGTGTTACACAGTTTAATCTGATTTTGATTAGTAAACTATATTCTGTGGACATGTACCACACCAAAAATGTCAAGGTAGTGACTAGTGAAATTACAAAGATAAGCAGTTTTTACTGTTTAACATTAAAACCATTAACTATGTATAGTTCTACATTACATAGAGCTTCATTGAACAATATTTGATACTGCTTGTAAGATACAAAATAATGAACACCTGTAAACAGACTAAAACAATATTTGAAATTCACTTTTAACAGTTTTAATTGATTATAGGAATAGAATTTACAATGCTGTATTACATGTACTTAATATATTCCTCATGTCTGAGAAATTTTTATCACAGGTTTAATACTCCTTTTTGTCACATAAATGTATCTGCATTTTTTTTCATATGATCCTTCTGTTGTGCGACATGTATATCCCATATGTGATTATAATACATTTTTTTAATCATAAATCACATCCAACCACAAAACATTTGACATCCTAATATATATTACAGATGCAAGCACTTTGCTTTAATTATAAAACAACATATCATCCATATCATTAAAATATATGCTTTAAAATTTCCATCTGATCTAAAAGTCAGTAATGTCTGACTTAGCTATCCATGCAACCACAACTTCTAAAATAAATAGTTTCTGTCAAATGCATCATCAGATTTGTGACAATCATACCATGGATCCTTGATTTCCAAGCCCCAATAAAATGTATATTCAATAATTTGAAACATCTACGATGTCTTTTCTACATACATTTTACAGTGGATATTTTATAGACTAATTCATGTCAATTTCATATCAACGGATGTATGTCACATATTGGTTTTTGCATAAAAATGGTGAGAATTATCATGAATTCACACATGAAAACAAGCAAAAAACATGATTTCTATGTTTAAACATATGACACAAAGAATCTCCCATTGGTTTGTGGTTGGATATGATCTATCCACCTCTGTGTGTCAGCTCAAGTTTCTTTCTCTATCCAAGACTCTTAGAACATGCACACAGCTCGCTGGATACTGTAGCAATCATATCAAACTACAATCCTGGTGAGAGATCTTTATGTATAAAATGAAGAAAGATAAACATGACATATATGAGAAAAAATATGATTCACAGAACATGTATCTGTGAATATTTGCTTGCTTTTAACTCTCTATTCTTTGAAACATTGTAACAGTGACAAAAAAAATCCATGTACATGTACATATATAAAAATATAAATTTGGGAAAAGATAAAAATATAAACAAAAATTGATGACAATTTTGTATACTTCATACAAGTTGAGTTTATACTTTATCAGCAAGTATCATGAGTATGTAATAATTACTTTTTAAAAAAATACATATACCCGGTATACAAAACAAATAACACTTATGATGGGCTGCTAAGGATGCCTAATGTGTTACTTTATTTTTATTTGCCCTACTGCCCCCTGGTCCTAAAATTTTGATATACAGTGTACACTTTATAAAGATATACAAACATATAAATTTTAACAATATCCTGATATTATTCAATTAAGATAAATTAACTCCCATTCTATAGATCAACCTATCAATCCAATTTTACACAAAATCTTGGAGAAACTTGTATATTCTTTGGTTTTGGTATTCACTTTTTTTTTTTTTGAAAAAAAGCTTATAACCAACTCTACTTTATTTCATACTTATCTAACTCTACTTTATTTCATACTTATCTCCCATCAAATGGCAGAAATGCACTAAATCTGAATCTCCATCACAAAAATAGATGCTTCAATTTAAGGCAATATGGAGAAAAAATAGACATAGCACTATGTGGTCTTTGATAGCATGATTGAGAAAGAACAAAATGATCACTAAAACACATGTATCTGGTCTCTGTGGAAAGTAACCATTTCATCGTCCAACGTTAGAAGAACCTGAAACAAAAACATTACTGCAAGTATTATTTGTAATCTAATATGAAAGCAGCAGAATTATTGATAAAAAAAATTTGTTATTTAAATATTTTTTCATCATCCAATTTCTTAATTATTACAAAAAATGATACAAATGACAAATATACCACAAGTATATTATCAAAGAGGACCCATTTAAAAAAAAATCTATATTATGCAAATTGATGGATCATTGTGACCAGATTGAGGTATAACATTCTTTGTGGCAATTATATGGCATCAACTGAATTTTGAATTTCATACGTTTTTGAATATTATCAATTGAAAATGAAAACAATTTGTTAAACTCAATATTAAAGACCTGACTTCTTGCAATTTAACAATGTACAGTATATATGAATTTTTTTTTATATACTATACATGTAATTCCTTAAAGCACATTCAAAAACAAATGTGTTTATATGCTTGTAAGTTTGGGTTGTCATGTGATAATCCATCTACATTGTGCCAATATTAACGTTCAGAATTTGATACAAACAATGCCTCCAAATACATATGTACTTCTTTATTAGAAATATGATAATATTTGATAACAATTGAGGATTATTTACCAAAAAGGAAAAGAACAATGCAATGGAGGAAAGAAAATGCCAAATGTCATGAGCATCATAAAATTCCAGTAGCATGCAGTCTCTGTTTCCTTCTCTTGATCTAGAAGGGGTTTTCTATATGAAAAAAACAAAACAAAAGAAATTCATTATGCTTTTAAAAATACAACCAGAAGTCTTGTCAATAAAACAAAGATTCAAATCTCCCAGCTTTGAACTTATAGCATAAGGAAGAGAAAAGTACTTAAGCAGCTTCCACTTATTTGAAACTAAATAGAATAATGATCGTTGATAAAGTCTCTTTATGTTCTTAGTGTAGTCTACTTGTGTGCCAAGTTATACTGAAATCAATACCAAAACTGTAGGAGGAGTAGCATTTTGAAACAATTTTACAGACATTTCTATTTTTAGTAACCACGGCAACACCGTTCATCAAAATTAAAATTCAATATACAGAATTATGTATCTTAGTGTAGTCTACTTATGTGCCAAGTTATATTGAAATCAGACCAAAACTGTAGGAGGAGTAGCATTTTGAAACAATTTTACAGATATTTCTATTTTTAGTAACCATGGCAACACCGTTCATCGAAATCAAAAACCGATACACCAGACTAATCTAACTTAGAGTATTCTTCTTGTGTGCCAAGTTATAATCTGAATCAAAGTTTGAAAACTCTAGGAATAGTAGCATTTTGAATTAGAATTTAGCACAGAAATTTCTATTTTTAGTAACCACGGCAACACCGTTCATCAAAATCAAAAATCGATACACAGAATTACTGTATCAAAGTTTATTCTACTTTTTGCCAAGTAATACCTGAAATCAGACCACAAACTGTAGGAGGAGTAGCATTTTGAAAGAATTTCACAGAAATTTCTATTTTTATTAACCACGGCAACACCGTTCATCAATAATCAAATAACCATAAAATGTCAAAAGTAGGTCACAGTGACCTACTTGTGTGCCAAGTTATACTGAAATCCCAAGGTGCCTAAACTGACAAAAGTAGCGTTTTGAAAGAATTTCACAGAAATTTCTAAAGTTAGGTCACCAAGGCACCACCGTTCATTCTCAAAAACCCAAGATGTCACAACTGAATTATGTATCTGAGTGTAGTCTACTTGTGTGCCAAGTTATATTGAAATTAGCCATAAAATGTAAAGGAGTAGCATTTTGAAAAATTGTTTACAGACAGACCCAAGATGCATCAACTGACAAAGTTTGATGATTCTTAGGAGGAGTGCCTGAGCATTACTATTGCATAAGCTGTTCTAGGTCACTGTGACCTAGTTTTTGAGTTTTCTATAATCAAAAAAACCCAAGGATGCCATCAACTAACACAAAGTTTGATGATTCTAAGCCAATAAGTCCCAGATATTTAAATAAAGCTTGATAAAATGTAGAACAGGTCCTGAGTTATTTTTGGTCATCACTCTACCTGCCAAAGATGTCAGATTCATAAAGTTTGATGATTCAAGGCCCCACACAATGACAGCTCCAGCAATAATAAGGCCAGCAAGGAGGTCAATTTGACCTACATTTTGGTCTACATTTTTTAAAGACCCTACTTAAAGTTATAGATTTGCAGATAAATCAGCTTATTTATATACCTGTATTCTCTACATCCGAAGGCCATTTTGCTCAACTGAAAAAATAATTTAAGCCTTTTTTTTTTTGCGGAACGTATTATGAAATGAATTAAAATGTTTACAAGTAATTTTCAGGTACCTACGTGTTTGCATGGGCTATGAAAGTCACAAGAAATAATAAAATCCATTTTATTCAGTGTGCATTACTGTTAATTAATGAAAATTGTCATTATTCCAATTTGTCTAAAAAACAGCATTTGAACTTCACGTTAATTTTGCGGATTGCTTGTCTGAAAACTTTGGTCGTTGCATTACATTGTTGCGTTTCCCCCGGGGGTCATGATTTTCTGAACAAACTTCCGAATTTTAAACAGACGACTTGTTTCAATTTCTGCTTCGATTTAAAAAATAATGGATTTATTGCTAATACGAGAGGTTAAGATGTTTTAAAGAATTTTATCTAAATATTTCAATTTTATTATTTGGTACCATTCGTTAATATACAAAGCCTTATTTTTGAACAAACTATGAATTTTCCTACTTGGGCATGCTTCCATATAAATTTTTACCAATCATGCTTGGCTGTTCTTGAGAAGAAGATTTTTAAAGTATTTTCCTATATATTTCTATGTAAAACTTTTAAAGACCATTAGATGCATCTACTACCAAGTTTGATGATCGTAGGTCTGAAAGTGGTAACAAATTATGAATTTAAACAATTTGAAAACAAATGCCAGCAAAATTCAAAAAGTATGATCAATCATGACTTGGCTTTCTTGATAAGAAGGTTTTTAAAGAATTTTCCAATATATTTCAATTAAAACTTTGATCGGCCATTGTGGCCCCGTGTCTGAAATAAGGGGTTATGATTTTAAAAGGATTAGTCATAAACTACCTGAGGTCACAGTAACCTATTTGAATATGATTGTTCATGGACTAAGATGCATCAACTGAGAAAGTTTGATTTTACAGAATTTGCCAATATATTTCAAATTAAAACTTTGAAAACAAAGTCCCCGCAAAATTTAAAAAGGGGTCATGTTTGAACAAACTTTTGAATCTACACTATGATGTGAAGTTCCATAAGAATATGCATCAACTCATTTGCTGATCCTGTTCTTATAGAAGAAAATTTAAACATTTTTATATATTTCAATTTAGTAAAACGTTGAAGTGACCTTGTGGCCCCGCCCTTTGCCCCAGGGTAATTCCCCGTGCTAATTTTAATCTACTACATACCTGGGGATCCTTCCATATAAATTGATCAATTATGGCTAGGCTATTCTTGAGAAGAAGATTTTTAAACCAGAATTTTCCTTGTATACATGTATTTCTTGTTTAAGGGTCCCAAACCCTTATTTGAGTATAAATGGTAGCCTTTGGGCCAATGATACCCTTTGACAAATTTGGCAAACTTGATTCTAAGGGGTTCTTGAGTTATGGCCCATAAAAAAGTTTCATCTTTCACAAATGGCCATAGCAGTGGTTTTGTGCCTTTGGCTCAGAAGAAGATTTTTAAATAATCAATTTTAAAGTTAAAGATTTACAGATAAATCAGCTTATCTTGATGAACTGTACCCTATATATTCTGAATTAAATTGTTTAAACTGGAAAAAAAATTATAATTTTTGGCAAACTTTTTTCAAATACTAAGAAAAAGATGTAAAATATCAAAATAAAGGTCACTGTGACCTAGTTTTTGGTTGACATACTTGGAGAATCTAGGATATCCACAAACTGACTAAAGAGCCATAGCTGCTTTGTATAGCTAACGGCATGGTCAACTAATGCATTTTTAAAAAGCTTTCAGCTCAGGTGAGCTAAAAAGCTCAAAATGTGTACAAGTGTGTAGCTGATTAAGGACCCAGGATGACAACAAATAGTGACAGGTGGACTTAAGTGACCAACTAACAGACATACCTTCATTATAATGTAGAATGTACAATAAATCATAAGATTTCCAATGAAGATTCCCAACAGATAAGTGGCAAAGTCTGGAGAATGGTACACAGCTCCATAAACTGCACTGCAAAGTGGATTAAAATATTAAGTATACAATGACAAGTCTGAAAGGACTCTGATTTCGTTATATTATATTATGTACATTTAAAGCATTTCCTCACATTTTAAATAGCTCTATATTCAATCTGGTGACATACTTTAACCTAATAAATTATACTTAATATACCTACATTACCCAGTTGATGATATTTCCAAACACCAATAAAATCATTCTATCCTAAAAATATTAGACAGTTCTGATAAAAAGAGGATATTTAAACACACAATTTTATTTGAAAAGAAAAGAATGAATATTTCCATAAAATTGATATACATCTTAATGGGTATAACTGCATTGTATACTTTATATAAGTATATAAGTCAATAAAACAGTACTTACTGGATACATTGGTCTCTTACATCTCAACATGTCATATCGACATACCATATACACTCTTCTAAAAATTCCTTTATCTGGAAAATTAATAGTTAACAGTTTTTTTTTGGGGATGCTACAATGTACTGTATTTTTATGAACATGAAAGCCTTTACTTGCATTCCAAAGAAGAAGACAAACTCACCTACTCTCCATCTTCCAATGAAGTAGATTTGAATACTAAGAACTAAATAGAACAACATGTATACACAGGCAAAGAAAATCCAAAATATATTGGTCCCATATATCTGAAACAGATTAAACATATCCGTTTGACACTTACAACATACATAATCTTAATAAACAGAAATAATCATTGCACAATTTCAAGTGCTTAATATATGTTAATGACTAAAGAAGGATTTTTAAAGATTACATTTACTTTAAAATACAGGCTTCAGGTGGAAGGTTGGGGGGGGGGGGGATAGGGGAAAAATTAACAATTTTTAGCCCTTCCTCATGGATGCTAGCCAAATTAGTTGAAATTGGTTCAACAGTTTCATATCTAGTAGAAGATGAAAATTTCAACAGATGACAAGTGATGGAAGAAGAGACAAAACAAAAAAAAAAACACATTGCAATAGGTCACCTGAATGAATAACAAAATAGCAAAATTTTAGCTCAATGGTATAGCATTGCAGCAAAATTTTTAAAATTCACTTACTACTCCAATGACAGCTATGAATATGACAAATGCCATGAGAAGATAGGAGGTGTGGGCTTTGGCGCTGACATCAGGGTGTCTTGTCTGGTAAATCTTCAGCATGCATAAGCAAGCAATGATGTACATAAACGTGTCTGCAAAAAAATCACTGATTAGAATTTCAATATAAATCTCAATTTTAAGCTGTTGAAAAAATCAGCAAATCAAATTGTAATTAAATTTTTTCCTAAATGATTTATTTTTTGTTTAATTTTAATAATTTTTCACACATATTGAGATGCCATGACTTGCTGGTGGAGAGCTGCAAATTTAGTCCTATACATGGCTTTTAGGCCAATGAGGTTAAAATTTTTTTCCTGCCAGCATCTAATGCAACATGGGAATTTGGTTCATACAGTCTCATCCAAAGGACAGATCTCCAGGACCTGCAATGTGACTTGAACCTGTGGCATAAATTAAATCCTTATTTTATTAGACTAAAGGCTCTAACCAAAAACCTTGTGGGTGACATTACCTAAATGTAGTTGTTAATGATTGACTTTAGGGAAAATTAATTTCTCACCAAACTGAAAGTTGGAGTAGTTTGGACAGACATGTTATATAATGTTTATAACAGACCCCCTATGATGAGGGCTAAGCCCATGGCAAAGAATAGGCCAAAATGTTGGGATCCCCAGCTCCTTCTTATAGATTTATCTTGTTGTACTGCCAGCCCATATATCAGCTTTCTACAAAAAATCATTATGTAGTAAATTCTTATTTATTTTTAATAAATATTAATAATTATTAATTAATATTTTTTAAGTTTCCAAAATCAATGTTCTTGTATAAACAATATTTATAGTAAATGAGAGGCCCATGGGCCACATTGCTCACCTGAGTAACTTTAGCCATTCTGTCATTTAACACATTTCCCGCTTTGTAATACCTAACTTGACCTTGACAACCAGCAGGCCATGATTCAAACATTGAAACCAACTTTTATTCGCGATGACTTTAGTGCGATTTCCCGAAAACTAAACTAGTTCGCGACGATTAATTTTTCGCGACCAAGCCTATTTTGGATCTTTGTTAATAGGCAAAAATACAATAAAATTAGCTTGCGGCTACCTCAAAACGCGATGACGCGGGCTCTCGAGAACATCAGAATTTCACGCGAATAAAAGTTGGTTTATAGTGTAACACAACACTAATCCACACTTTTTCCACATAAGCTTTTTCTAGTCCACTTGTTCTTGAGAAGAAGATTTTTAAAGTTTTTTCCTACATATACTACCCCCAGGGGTTATGATTTGAACAATATGTACACTACACCAGGATGCTTCCATATAAGTTTCAGCTTTTCTGATCCAGTGTTCTGAGAAGAAGATTTTTAAAGTTTTTTCCACATATACTTCAATGTAAAACTTGGATACCCTATTGTGGCCCTGCCCTAGGAAGTGGGTCTTGATTTGAACAATTTAGGAAACTTCACTACCCCAATGCTTTCACATAACTTTAAGCTTTTCTGGCCCAGTGTCTTAGAAGATTTTTAAAGTTTTCTCCTATATATTTCTATGTAAAATTTGGATTCCCTATTTTGACCCAGCCCTACCCCCGGGGATACGATTTGAACAAAATAGAATCTACACTTCCCCAGGATGCTTGTCAGGGATTATCTGCCACTTTACGTAACGTTAAGGTTATTGTTACGCCATAAAACCTTACGCAGACCTGCCTACCCTTTTAATTGCAAGAGTGTAATTTCAGATTTTTTTTCGTGGAATTTAAGAGATAAAATGGTAATCAATCATGTTTTCCTATTTTGTTGTTTTACTGTAATACTTTATTTTCTTTTAAAATCACCAAAATTGTATATTACTAAACAAAACCAGCATAATCTTTTCTTTTTAGAATATCTACTGTCAAATAAGTGTTGTAAAACACCAGTATTCTATATTAAACTCAAATCAACCGTACACCCTTAATAAAACATTTGGTCAATTTGTATCAGACCACTTAATTGAAGGCACAATTGTGTTTGGCTGTTTACACAAATCGTACATATTTCCATAACACTGTATTTACATCTTTTGGGTTACACTCACATTTCTGTATCTTGTTAAAACAATGCTAAAATGGACTAAATTGAGCATAAAAATAGGTGTACTTAATGCAAAATCATTAATAGTTAACATAAGTATACCTTCTCGAAATTTTTATCTGAATCTTCGCCATATCGGTTAACATATATCTACTAGGTACATTACGTTAGTTATCGAACTGGTCCTCTATTAATTACTTAAACTAGAACTTCTCATTCCATTTCAGCAGGTCATAATTTGACTCTAAATTTTGACGTTGATAACAGGATTTAAACCAAAATATCAAAATCGTAAAATTAATATCAGTGGCGTAATAGCGTAATTTTGTGGTGAAACAGAAAGGGTAGGCAGGTCAACTGCTTACGTTATATAATCTATAGTTAACAAGAGATGTTTGTAAAACACTTATGCCCCCCTTTAAAATTGGAGTTTTTCTAAGTCCAAAAGGGCATAACTCTGTCTACAATGGTGCAATCCTACCCAAAAGAGAACCTGACCTAGAAATTCAGCTGAAAAATCTGTATACTAAATTTCATTTCAATATGTGCAACCTCTGCAAAGAAAATGAACGGAAATGGCAAATAAGTGGAATTTTTCTAAGTCCAAGGGGCATAACTCTGTCAAAAATGGTGAGATAGTATCCAAAACAGAACTTGACCTAGATATTCAGCTGAAAAATCTGTATACTAAATTTCATTTCAATATGTGCAACCTCTGCAAAGAAAATGAACGGAAACTGCAAATAAGTGGAATTTTTCTAAGTCCAAGGGGCATAACTCTAAAAAAAGGGGTGCGATCGTACCCAAAACAGAACTTGACCTAGATATTCACCTGATAAACCTGTATACCAAATTTCAGTTCAGTATGTGCAATGGTTGTGAAGAAAATGAACGGAAACTAAATGGACCGACAGACTGACATAGAGCAGCAAAGCAATATGCCCTCCCTTCTTCGAAGGGGGGCATAACAACAAGTCTAAAATAAACCACTATGTGATCAAGATGCATTTCTATTCTTTCCACAACATCCTGGTCACAGCACCAAAATGTTGTGGAAATTCCACACCATTTTGTGGTTTATTTTAGACTTGTTGTTAACTATAGAAACGTAATGTAAGGCATTATGACGTAACAATAACCTTAAAGTTACATAAACTTGCGAATAATCTGTGACAAATGCTTTTACATAACTTTCAGCTTTTCTAGCCCATGGGTTTTGGAGAAGAAGATTTTAAAGTTTTACCCTTTATATTTCTATGTAAAACTTGGATTACCTATTGTGGCCCCACCCTACCCCTGGGGTCAGGATTTAAACAATTAAGATTCTACACTATCCCAAGATGCTTTCACATAAGTTTCAGCTTTTCTGGCCCAATGGTTCTTGAGAAGAAGATTTTTTAATGACCACATCCTACATTTGTATTTTTGTATTTTCTTATTATCTCCCCTTGGAAGGTGGCTTGGCCCTTTATTATAACAATTTAAATTCCCCTTCACCCAAGGATGCTTTGTACCAAGTTTGGTTAAAATTGTACCTAGTGGTCCTTGAGAAGAAGTCGAAAATGTGAAAAGTTTACAGAAAGACAGATGGACTACAGACAAAATGTGATCAGAAAAGCTCACTTGAGCTTTCAGCTCAGGTGACCTTAAAAGGAGAAACTTGAATAAAACTACTTATATTTATAACTTTTTCTATGACTTGCATTTTATTCTCCATCTGGTATTCTAGCACTTTTAATCATATACCTTCTGTACACCAGAAACAAGAACAGGAGGCCCAGAGAGACATATCCAATATTGCTGAAGATGTTGTTGAATGAACTGACAAGACCCCATGGGTGAGCACAATTAAAATTGTAGTAGCAGATGTCTAGATTTCCTGTCACATTTAATACCTGCAATAACGTATTAATACTTCAATGGATCACCAATAATACATTTACCAACTTATAATCTCTTAAATTAAAGCTTGCATGTAACATGTTTAGAGTTAAAAAAAAATGGCAGACAGTTAAACATCAGCAAAAAAATTTACTTCACAATCTGCAAAAAAATTATTATAATAACATTAAGTGTTTTTACATCTTTTAGCAATAAAAAAATAATTGTTAATGGTTTTAATGATTATTTAATAAAAAAAAAATATGTCAGTTAAGTTGTCTTCTTACAAATTACAGTATTTGACAATATTATGCACCATTTTAATGCCTACCTTTTGGTAAGTGAATACTAACTGCAGTACAGGAAGTCCATAGAATATAGATATTGCAACCAAGTTTCTGAGAAAAGAGGGAGGAGAAATATTCCATAATCATGAAAAAAAGAAATTATTATATAATGCATTTAGTTTGTTAACTTTACAGTTTTATTTCATGAAAAAAAAGAACTATGTACTAGCTAGGACAGCAAAGTCTATTTACCTCCAATATATAGCATAATTTCTTGCTTGTTTTTTGTATTTCTTTCTTGACAAATCACAAACAAATAACTCAGTCTGAAAAACAGAACAAGGTACAGTTGTACTTTGGCATCTCAAACAATGATTATAACAATACATATAAGTTAATCTGAAGGAAAGTCATAGGTTATTAAAGGGTTTAGTATCACAAACGATTTGTCATGTCATGCAAGACCTCACAAATTCTTCGACTACCAGGGGCACATGAAACAGATAACAATATCAGTAATCTATTTAAATAGCCTTTATTGTTATTTGAACTTCAAATTTCAAAAGCTTTTGTTTGTAGAAATTAGTCATTAATTGTAAAGGAGACAGTGATTTTTTCCTCAAAGTTTGAATTCTCTGTCTAAACTTGAAGAAAAATCAATAAAATTTCAATGTCCATTTTTACAAAAACATTTATAGAGCAGATCAGATGTTACAACTGACTTCTTCATATCCTGTCTGTTTTTCAGTAACACATTGGAAAACTATTCATATTATACAACATGGCTGGTGTGACACGAAAAAATGTATCCAGATCAATGTCTGTAGGAAATGTGAATTATTCCAAAGAGACAGAAAGAAACAGACAATTTGTTCCAAAGAAGGGTATAACTCCTAGAAAAGGAAGAGACACAGGCAAATCTCACACTGGAGGAGTTGAACATCTAGTGAAACAAATCCATCAACTTGTGGCTGGACAGGAGGCATCCCAATTAACAACAGTATCTTGTGCCAAAGAAACTATTCACAGTTTACAAGAATCCATTGAAGGCATGAAGAAAATGGCTAGAGAAGATGAAGAGACTGTTTCATTACATAATTTAATTGATAATGTTTTAAGAGAGCTCAATCATCTTAGAAGTCAACTCAAAGCAAAAGAAGAAAATTATAACACAATGAAAGAATTCTATAGCCAAAATTTAAAAGATGCAAAAAATGAAGTGCAAATTCAAATTCTTGAGTTGGAATCAGAAAAGCAAGAGAATGACAAACTCAAGAGAAAAAGTGATAACCTTCAACAAAAAGTTACAGATTATGAGAGTAGAATACAAAAATATCAGCAAGATTTGAGAATTCTTGAGGAAAAGAAACAAGAATTGAGTGATGAAAATCTTGGACTACAGAAGAAGATAGAGATGCTAGAAGACATTAATTCAGATCAAAAGAATAAAATAGCCAAACTTGAAGCTGAAAACCAAACTTTAAAGTTTAAATTTCATCATCAGGGAGAAATAAGTGAAAGTACACCCCAATCAAGAAAACGGGACAAATCAAAGACAATTCATAAATATCAAGAGGAATGGGTTCAAAACTGGGTCCTGTCCCACTCTCCTGAAGATACTGGACATCACTACATGGACACAGAGAGTAACAGACCAAGGTCAGCTGCAACTGCACTCACTTCTTTCTCTCATTCAGCTACAGAGTATTCACACAGACCCATAAGCAGTCGAAGTCTGAGGTTTAGTTGTGCCAACAGTGGAATCTCTACAATCAAACCTTCAGGGAGACCTGTTAGCTGTAAAAGTTCAAAATTTAGTTGTGCTAATAGTTCTGCCTCCACAGTTATAAATACAGAGAGACCTGAAAGTACTGTAGGTACAGATTTCAGTTGTGCCAACAGTGGAACCTCAACAGTTACTGAAATTCATAACAAAGCATTTTAAACAAACATTAAGTTAACAAGTACAATCTGTGGGAATCAGAACTTAGTCAAGAAATTGTCATCCAGAGTTGTCTTTATAGACAAAACCTACTGGAGCACATATGAAAACAACTTGAAGCATCCTTGAAGTGTCCACAGATGAACCACATGTACAAGTTTCATTTGGATATCCTTTATAATGACACCCACAGAGAGTGATCAAAACAATGAGATTAAATTTTAGCTTTGTCTTTGTAAAACTTGCCAATCAAAAACAAAACATAGTGGATGCAATTGATCACCGAAATATAATATTTTTATTTGTCAGATTACTACAAATAAACACTAAGAATGGAGTTTCATTAAATAATAGGAAAAAATTTTACTGACAGTTTCAAAAACATATGATACTTTAGTGCTTTGGAAATACAGTAAAACATGCTTATAGAGAACATGCTTAGAACGAATTGATGTGTACAGCGAAAGTGATTTTCATTCCCCATGGCATTAAATGTAAAATATTTTGGAAACTTAAGGGGTACTAACCCTCTAATAAGAGTATACATGTATCTTGAAGCAGGGAACCCTCTGTTTGTTAATAAATTTGTTTCACACATTGTGATTTTTTATTAACCGTGCATTCTATATAATCAATTTATATTTAATGTGAGAAAAAGTACAGTCCACTTGCATAGAGCAGCATATGGATGCAACTGACAGAGAAATATAATATTATAATATTTTTGGGAATACAGTGTAAAGAACTTTTATTGTTTTTAATTACATGTATTTTGTAGAGGAAAATTTAGGTGCATGTGATAGGAACTATTCAGTGCAAGTGTTGTGGACATGATATTTGGAATACTGAACTTTCTGTTTCAAATTTTCTACATGGCAGACAAGAGACTTGTAAAATTAATAGTCAAAAGCCAAATTACCTTAAGTTAAAAAAAAAACTACAGCACATTTTAGACCAATGTGCATGTAAATTAATCTACAGGCCTCTAAGTGACCTCCAAAATCTAGGAGCCTTTATATCAAAATTTTTAGTCACAAATGCAAATTTATAGGTGCCAGGCAGCTTTAGAAGCACCATCTTTAAAAGTTGATAGTTACTACTTTATACAGAAAAAAAATTGTACATTTCTAAAAATAATTTTCTCTTCTTTTCTAATTTTTTTTCACTTTTTCTGAAAATTAAAAACTTTTTGAAATATTCCAAGTTCCGGATTGATGATCTACAAGTCAAATTAAAATGGTTGCCAATTTGGCAACATTTGGAAAAATTTTAAGCACCAATCAAAAATTTTAGGTGATAAAGCAAGCCTTGAATCTACCTGTGTTGTTAAGGATATTTTTTTTTATTTAATACTTATTTATTGAATAAATTACAGAGTATGAAAGAAAACAAATCATCAACTATACTAACTTTTGTCCTAAAGACATCTTTTTCTAAGTCCGCATCTTTGAGGAAATCAATGTCGTCTGAATCCAGAGAACTGATGGACATGTTGTCTGCCGCGTTTGTACTTCTAGTATTCCTGGTAGTGGGCAGGGCAGATGATGTATCAGCAGTTTTAACTGTGGTGCTCAGCAAGTCATTGTGATCATCATCAGCATCTATAATGTAGTTATAATTTTCACAAATCTTACATATATTTTAAATTTTGCTAAATTTTCTATGGCCTGCCCTGAATATAACCAAGTCATATAACATATGTCATGTTTGTTTCCATCCTTCTGTCTTTTAGATTGTCTAGCCATCAAACTTTGCATTTACCTCAGTTTCAAATATGTAAACTAAATTCATACATTATAATGGTGAGAGCTATTCAACTCTGGTGGGATCAGCTGCCATAGTAGAGTAAGCATCTCATGATGCAATATGGTTTTTTGAAAAACGAAATGCAAGTTCTCTATGACAAAAGACTGGCCAAGCAAAGGACTGGTGATTTATAGTTATTTTTCAATTTTTTATTAAAGAATGAAAATAACATGCACTGTTGTATAAAGCTATACTATACCTTGATTATGAATAGATCCATATGTTGAAGAACCAGTCCTTGTATTCAGAGGTCTTGCTGGATTGTCCATACTTTCTGTAAAATTACAGACTTTGAAGAATATTCCTTTTACAAGATTATGCATATAATTACAAGAATATACATGCAACTTTTAAATTTCTTTATGTTATTTCAAAATTTTTTTTTCTTTTTGACGAAAACAGCATGTATAATGACTCCAAAGCTCATTATCTTTTAAATCCTAGAAAAAAAAATGATTTTTTAAGCCCAATATCAAGTCTGACCTGACTTTTGGTCTGGAGACTCAGGAATCATCCATATTCCTCTGTGTTTTGAACTGAAGAAAAACAACAACATAATACTATAAATTACATGTATATCTATTATGATCCTTTATTTAAGTTGATAAGGCATTATGAGAATTGATAATTCTGCTTCATGCAAAATCAAAATGTACATGTACAGTGTTGCATTTACGCATATATTTCTTCTTAAATATTAGGTAAAAGATCCATATACTGTACCATCCATGATAAAAACATCCGATACAGAAAGCTAACACGTAAAAGGATCCAAAGAGAGATATAGCAAACAGCATTCCCCAGTAGTATTTGTCACCTGAAAAATAAGAACAAACCAATTAGTGTTTCGGAATAATTATATTTCCTTGGGATTAACTTTTGTGTCTTTTGTGTTTGTTCTACAAATTTATAAAATTCACTCAAACAAAATTAATCTTGATTTACAGGTACATGCTGTGTTTTTAATTTTTGATTATATCAAAATATATTGATTGTTTAAAGATCTCAGCTGATGTGCATACTACTAATGGTTGTCTTAATTTCCAGCGTTATATTCTTCTCTCGTTTGAACCCCGCTGGTAAAATTGTTTCAAGTTCTGAAGAACAGACTTTGTCTAATGGTTTCAGAACAAAAATGACATAGAAAGCATTTCCTGGATAATCCGTTCTCTGCAATAAATAAATAATCTCCTAAATCTTGAGTACCTCCAGCGCTGGTGAAAAAACTTAATAGGAAATGTTTTTTCTTTCTTTTTTTAATATAGAGCTCTTTAAATATATATAGAATATAAATCAAAATACAATATTTTTTTCTACATGTATATAAGAAAATATACCTCTATCTGAATAGCAGCCTGTTTGGTCATAGTTTGGTATGCTCCTTCAAATTCCACATTAACATTTAGATCATAAACAGGACACTAAAAATGCAAATAATTTCTAGACTAATAAGCCTGAGGGAAAATGCTGCACAGTTCTCAATCTTCTATTTAAAAATACAGTAAATCAATTCCTTTTTATGTGGTCAAATTTTTATTGGTTGAAGGAAAAATTACTGGTTAAAAGCATTTGGTTTTTGTAGCAAAAGGAAAAATGTACTCGACTCCAGTATGAAAGCTGTCTACAGTACAAATGTCACACTTCAAAGAAGGCATAAAAATCAGACAAATCAGTATTTGGTTCTAGAAAAGATTTTTAAAGTTTTTTTTTAAATACTCCTATGTAAAACTTTGATCGGCCATTGTGGCCCGACCCTACCCCCGGGGGTTGAAGTTGAACAAACTTGAATCTACGCTGACTGAGGATTGATTCCACATGAGTTTTATCTTTCCTGGCCCAGTGGTTCTTGAGAAGGAGATTTTTAAATTTTTTCTATATATTCCCATGTAAAACTTTGATCGGCCATTGTGGTCCCACCCTTGCCCGAGGGTCATGAAAAACTTGAATCTACACTACCTGAGGATGATTCCACATGAGTTTTCATCTTTCCTGGCCCAGTGGTTCTTGAGAAGAAGATTTTTTAAAAATGACATTAATTTTTCTTTAATTTATAATTATCTCCCCTGAGAAGAGGGCGTGGCCCTTCATTTGAACAAACTTGAATCCCCTTTACCCAAGGATACTTTGGAGTAAGTGTGGTTGAAATTGGCCCAGTGGTTCTTGAGAAGAAGAAGAAAATGTGAAAAGTTTACAACGACGACAACGACAACAATGACAGACAACGGACAAATTTTGATCAGAAAAGCTCACATGAGCCTTTGACTCAGGTGAGCTAAAAAGCAAGTATGTTTAAGTCAAAGTTGATGGTCTGTAAAATTTTAGTGGTTTTTAGATGGATGCATTCCAAAGTGTATTTTTTTGAAAGGCAATATCTGTGTTCTAACAATTACCCATACTCTAAACATGTCACAACAAATTATACTAGTATCTTTGACATGAGTGCATCATCCATCTAAGTCTGGCCAAGGTACACGAATGACTTATGTACTATGGTTACATGTATTGGGGAATGGACTTCTATTTTGCACTTGCAACATTTGATGCAAGTTTTGTGGTGTGCTTAGCTAAATCCATCATTCATTCATGCTCCATCAATATATAGGTAGTTATTGACTCAGAGAAAGAAACTATTTCATAACCTTGAACTTGGTCAGATACATGCAGATTCTATCAAATATGCATGTAAGATGCAGCATCCAAGGAAAATCTGGTAGTGTACATCTCTTTCATGCCAACATTTCTGCAAATATGGACCTGATAGGACCTACATTCTCTTTATTTTGTCAATAGAACCTGCTCCTACAACTTTGGCTTCACTGAGTTGAGCTAATTAAATACCGTATAAGTAGAATTTTTAGCGAGGATTTAATTTTGGCATTATTAGCGAGGGTGCCAAGATCGATAAAATTTAATATCGCTAATTATTAATGTCAGTTTATTTGTAATAGGTTCTTTAGTGTGCTTTATAAAAATCGCTAAAATTACATCTCGCTAAAAATAAATTACCAATTTTTAAGGTTAAATCGCTAAATTTGCGTCTCACTAAAATTTTTATGAGAAGTTTGCTTTCAAATGACTAAAAGAATCTATTTACTGAAACTAATCAACACAGCTTGATGCAAAATTTTGCATTCAACTGGAAGATACTAACTTATACAATTGTGTACTTGGAAATATTATGGATTGTAATTGGAATTGGTTCTTTTTAAAATACCCATACTGGGCCAGCATTTTTTTATTTTTAGGTTTACGAACATCAGAATGAAAAAGTCCCGTAGGAGGAGGAAATAAAAAAAAAAATAAAATTATATTTTGGATACATAAACGACTTTTCTACATTAATTTTTGCTTCTTTTTTTATGCTCTCCTAACAGGCTTCTTGCCACTGGACACATAAGGGTTACAAAGGGGAAAATACAACCTTTAATTGTTTATTTCATCATCTACCAGTTGGGGGCAGTGATATAAATCTTTTGATGTTGGACAAAATACAGATTTTTTTTTAAAAAAATCAATTTTTTAAATCTCTTTTAATATATCTTCATTTTGTTTTTAATGTGTGTTAGGTAGAAATAATTCTAAAATATTAATATACTCAAGACCTATAAAAGTAATAATTCCTTTCATAAAACAGACAGGGAGTATTCCCAAGGAGTATTGAGGAGTAGGGTGGAATTTTTTTTCAATTAAGTGTAAAATAATTTTTCTGGCTGCCATAAACGATACTACATGCCTTTATATATTTATATATTCTTGTTTTTAGATAGTTGAAATATTTTATTTCTTTAGGCTATTGTTTATTTCTTCCTCAAATGGACTTAACTTCTCCCATAGTTTTATTCATTACACCTGATGCATAAGGGACCCTTTTCTGAAGAATGATGCTAATACTGTAAGCTATAACAGAAACCTAAGCAATGTCTCTGACATTAGCTACCATGGGCAGTTTTAAACCTGTGGGAGGAAAATAATTTACAATTACAGACAGTTACTTTTGAATACGGATACATAATTATCTCACCAACATGTCACTTTGCAACAAAGTCGTCAGCATTTTATTGTTCTCTGAACGGGTGAAACGTTTTGAATGGCACTCGTATCGATAAATATTTACATTAAACCAAGCTTTAGTGCTGCTATGGACTTGACACAAATCTCCCTTCATTACCAGCCATGTTCATTTAAAACCGGAAGTACGAGTTCGTAAATTTGAAATCTTGATCCCGACTCAAATTTGACATCAGAAAGAAAAAATTCTGTTTTTTCTCAATTTTGTTTTTTTTCTGAAAATTCAAAAACTTGAGCGGCGGGTTTGTAAACCTAAAAATAAAAAAATGCTGGCCTAGGCAAAGTATTTTACTCCCCATCAGCTACACATACATTTTTTGGAATCCCCCCCCCCTTAAATAAATTTAAATACAGATATAATTTATAAATAAACATCAGTCTATATCTACCTGTATAGACTGTATGGACATCACAGCACATCTCTCATCATTTGATGTAGCATGTACCAGCACTGAGTCCACACCCACTGGGAAGGTATACATATAGTACTGGGGCTCTGATGGGGTGATGTAGATCTCCTTAGGGGTACCAGTGCTTAATATTATACATTAACGTTTTATCAGTAATAAACAAGAGGCCCATGGGCCACATCGCTCACCTGAGAAGCTTTGACCATGCTGTTCTTTAGTAGATTTCCCCTTTGTAATACATATTTTGACCCCACCCTACCCCACTGATCATAATTTAGACGTTTCAAATCTACACTCTCCCAGGAAGCTTCCACATAAGTTTCAGCTTTTCTGGCCCAGTGGTTCTTGAGAAGAAGATTTTTAAAGATTTTTTCTATATACTCCTGTGTAAAACTGTGATCGGCCATTGTGGCCCTACCCTACCCCCGGGGTCATGACTTTTATAATTTACAATCTACACGACCTCAGGATGCTTCCATATAAGTTTCAGCTTTTCTGGCCCAGTGGTTCTTGAGAACAAGATTTTTAAAGATTTTTTCTATATATTTCTATGTGAAAATTTGATTCCCCATTGTAGCCCCGCCTACCTCTTGGGGGTCATGATTTGAATAATTTAGAATCTACACTATCCCAGGATGCTTCCATATAAGTTTCAGCTTTTCTGGTCCAGTGGTTCTTGAGAAGAAGATTTTTAAAGATGTTTTCTACATATTTCTATTTAAAACTTTGATTCCCCATTGTGGCCCCGCCCTACCCCGGGGTTATGATTTGAGCAATTTAGAATCTACCCTACCCAAGGATGCTTCCACAGAAGTTTCAGCTTTTCTGGCACAGTGGTTCTTGAGAAGAAGATTTTAAAAGATTTTTCCTATATATTTCTATGTAAAACTTTGATTCCCCATTGTGGCCCTGCCCTACCACCGGGGGTCATGATTTGAACATTTAGAATCTACACTACCCCAGGATGCTTCCAGATAAGTTTCAGCTTTTCTGGCCCAGTGGTTCTTGAGAAGAAGATTTTTTAATGACCCCATCCTATTTTTGTCTTTTCTTGATTATCTCCCCTTGTGAGGGGACTTGGTCCTTCATTTTAACAACTTAAATTCCCCTTTACCCAAGGATGCTTTGTACCAAGTTTGGTCAAAATTGGCCCAGTGGTTCTTGAGAAGAAGTCGAAAATGTGAAAAGTTTACAGACGGACGGACAGCTTGACGGACGAATGGACGACAGACAAAATGTAATCAGAAAAGCTAACTTGAGCCTTCGGCTCAAGAGCTAAAAATATAGAAGAAAAAACTTTACCAAATGTTAAAGTAGTTGGTATTAAGTACATAATGATAATCACATCATATAAAAGTGAATTTAATTTTATGAGAAACTATAGTGTAACAGTATAATATAAATTCCTTCATGATGAAAAAATAATATAATCATCAAGTAGAACTATATCACTGCATCTGGACAATCTCAAAATATTTATCTTTGTCATATACCTGACTTGAAAATCTTCAATTTTTGTAGCCCTTAGGGTAAAATTTAATGGAGTTTTACTAAATGTTGACACGTCCACAAAGAAACTCTCATCCTCTGGTTTATCTGGTCGATGGCTGACATCCAGAGGACATAGTATACGACTGACAGTTTCAAATGGAGTCGCATTCTCACTGAAACAAATTTGACACCAAGTAATTATTAAAGGGCACCTGCTCTTGTTTTTCTGTTGTTGAATGTCTTAAAGGTTGAATGATCTATACATAGCTGAACTTTGTCATCTTCAATACCATGGCTATATCAAAATGAGTTAAACATATTAATTGAAGTTCCAACTACTCTTTCTCTATGTATTTTAACATATTGAATCTTCTGATATTTCTCAAGGTCTGTCTTCAGACTGAGATAACAAGGTTTGACTGTAAGACATTGCTTTATCTGACAAATTTCTTTGTAAAATATAAATACATTGCAAATAATCATAATTTCTAGATTTAAACTTTTTTGTATCAGGTTATTTCAGATCAATGCAAAACCCATTTTTATACTTGTATTCCAGATAAAGTGGCATTGTCCAAGACATGGTTTGGCGCTGCTGTCGAATCACAACAATGACAGGGAATTCCTTCGTGTAATCAGACAAAACGGCAGTGGTAACTCTCACAGCAGTTGTCTGTGGAAGACATTCAGAGTGATTTTATATTCATATTTTTTCTGAATCTATTATTAAAAAAAACTTTTCTCATATGATAGTGATATTTAAGAAAGAAACATTTTTAACTTAAGAATAAAAAATAAATTCAAATCTGTATCTTTACAATCAGTCATGATCAAACATAGATTATTTATCTCCCCATTCAACAATTAAAACACCAACATTAACAGATTAATGATAGAAGCTCCAAGACCTGCATATTAAATTGATAATTGCTAAGCATTTAATACTTAAAAAAGCCTATAAATTTTAACATTCACAAATAATACATAATGCAACAACACCATGAACACAAACCCAGGAAGAATACAGAGGTCGAGGAGGGTAATATGTCAGGTGCATGTAGTCGACTAGTCGTGAGCTCAAACGATGACACACTCAAAACAGTCATTGCCCTGTAACCTTTCATACAAATATTCCTACTCAATGTAGTAAAAACAGCATATGTGTTGGAAAAGGAAACTGTAGAATTTCTAACTTTCTCAGCCTGCGATAATCACTATATGACTATATATGAGTTGGTCTTTTGTAGTGTTGTTACGATAGTCGCCGACTATCGAAAAATCGTCGTTTAAAGGCCCAGATCGGTGACAATCGATTGTAAATATTATCATCGATAGATCGCTATATATTTCAAGCCGTATTTTTCAAGCCGAGCAGGTTTAACTTTTATATTCACCAAAGGGACGTCACTCTAATCGGCGGTAAACAAAATGGCGAATGTGCATGGTGAATTTCGCCGAATACATCCATATCCTGGTGCAACACGATCTAAAGTACTTCTCAGGATGAATAAATTTAACCTTATTTTAATAGTTCAAATTATCGATTATATAATCGATTATGTTCTTCCAATTCAATTTGATAATCGATAGTAAAATTTGTCCGATTTTACAACACTAGTCTTTTGATCAGATACCAAACAGCCCCCAGTGTTTGGGGGCAGATTTGATCTCTTCTCAGGCTGTAAAATGTATATTGGTATTTCCGGATTCATAAAACATGTTAAAAGGGTTTTAAATGACTTTACTATCAAGTAAGAATAACAGAAGAGTGAAAAATGAAATATATTTTTCATGCAAAAAAAGCATCTAATTACAAACAACTTTGTATTTACTGGCAAGTCCAACCAGTCGACCATAAAATACAATCTGAAAACTTTAACAGGAGAACATTGGTATAGCTTACAAAGTACTTACCCTATTTTTCATTTCCTTATAAGAAAATTCATAGATGGCTTCAGTGGTTGTATTGATGATAGCTGAGTATGTTTTGTTAAATTCAGCTTTATTAGGAACATCTCCATCAGTAGCAGTTATTGGTAAAATTTTAAAAACTACAAAACAAAATTAACTTAATACTTATTGATATTTCATTCTGAGCCAACAGTAGAATAAATGTTCAAACTTTATTCATATTCAGAGAGTCCAGTAAATACTCTACTAAGCCCTAATCTTTACGCCTTGCCAAAATATTTATTGCTGTTAAGGGAAATGTGCTATTACAGAAGGGATAATGTGCTACAACATATCACAAAAAATTTAAGTATATTATCACAGACCTATATAAAGTATAAATAGTCTACGCATAGCAAAACTCTACCCCGGGGTCCTCAAAAACTAAGATGAACTTTCAGAAATATTTAAAATCACCAAATTTTGCAAAAAATTTAAGCCTATATATTCATATAGACACCCCTTTTTTAATAAAATGGAATTCATTTTTCACATCTTGTTTTTGGGTAATCAATAAAATTACTTTGTTAAAAATCACTCTGATTCTATATACCAGTGATTAACAAGTACAAGTATATATTCCAGTGAACTTGAAATAAAAGACACCACAGAGTCTGCCACATCTGTTTCATATTTGGTTGTTTAACCGAGACAGACTACACACACATAAGTTGATGCTACAGTGTTTTCAACAACCTTATTAAAAGTAAAGTTTTTCAAAATTTCTACTGTTGTTATGATGGTCTTATTGGCAAATATGTCCCATCACTGGGACAAGTTTTATAAGTTTTTAAGGCATTTGTTTTATACTAAATTTTGACTTTGGAATGTTTTGTCTACTTGAACAATGCAAAAGGCTCGCAGTGCATGGTGTGTCCGATCAACAAAGGATGCTTACTCCTTCTATGCACCTGATTCCAACTCTGGAATTTCTTTGTTTATTTAAGTATCAATCATTAATTAAGCCTTGAAAACGTCAAATTTTGAAACATTTGATGCAATGTGTCAGAAAAAGTATGGTAGAATTATAAAACACTATGAGTTACATTAACAGAAAATAAATTTGCGATATAATAAAATTGATGAGGTAAATCCCTGATAAAATCTTCCTTTTAAATCTGTCAATGATAAGTGTATTGCTAGTTTCGACCTTTGGTCCGTCTGGAAGTAACATTCATGTAGACGTATTTAAAGAGGTGCCTTTCTCCAGGCCTCCTGAGAGTAACAAAGTCTAGCATCTTACTCGCATAGACTCACCTATTGCACAAACAAAAGTACAATGCATGAACATTTTGGAAAAGGCAGATTTGTTCGCTTCTACATCCGTTATTCGTTATTCCATAACATCAACTTTCACACTGATTCACAATCATAGGATTGCTTGTAAAATGAAAGTGAAACTAAGTATTTGAGAAAACCGCCATCAATAACGTAGAATTTTCCGAAATAATATAGTCCTTGAATTCAATATTATTTTCAAACTTGGCAAAATGGAATGGCTATAGTATTTATCACTTTCTCTCAAATCCTGGAATTTGTCACTATTCGACCTTACAGCAAGCACAGGCACCTGACGAATGGATGGTGTAACCCCCCCCTCCCCTAGCTTCTGATAATTTTTATTGACACTATTTAAACTTATCAAATATACCCGATTTTTTAGTCTATCATTCTTAAATTTTGATATCTGATATCATTTTCCGCTTTTTAAAGACTGGCCTTATACAGAATACAAGAGGCCCATGGGCCACATCGCTCACCTAACTTTGGTGATGCAGTTCTTTTCCAGATTTCTCCTCTGCATTTTTCTTGATTATCTCCCCTTGGAAGGGGACTTGGCCCTTTATTTCAAAAATATAAACTCCCTATCACATAATGATGCTTTGCACCAAGTTTGGTGAAAATTGGCTCAATGGTTCTTGAGAAGAAGTTGAAAATGTGAAAAGTTTACAGACGGACGGACTACGGACAAAATATGATCAGAAAAGCTCACTTGAGCCTTTGGCTCAGGTGAGCTAATAACACAAGCATACATACACAAAAGCAGTTGTTTCGGTGATAATTTTTTAACACAGAGTGTACAGGTACAGGCACGTAGCAACAGCCCCCCCCCCACTTTTTCCCCAACATTACTTACAATGAAGCGCATTGAAGTGGTAAAATTTTCTGTTTGGATGGAACGTTTTGAGCTATCTTTAGACACGCCAGTTTCTTTAGAAAGGAAAAATCGGTCAAATGATTCAATCGAATACCTGTAGAACAGGTATTTTATAAATATAATAGATAGTTTTCGATTGACCTAAATTTAGCAAGAGTTACTTCCCGTCGGCCGCCATACTGGAGGTCCAAAAGCTCGTATTCCTTCATTGTTCAACCAATTTTAAATTTTTATATTTGCGATTTTGAATTAGGAATCATCATTTTTCTGAAGTAAATAAATTTTTGGAAGCCTCCTTTATTTAAAAAAAAATATTTTATAACGATTTTCCACCAAATATTTCTGCTATATTTTCTTAAACTTGGTAAGACAAAAAGGAAAACTCACCGAGTCGACCTCCAATATGGCGGCCAACGGGAGGTAACTTTTGCTAAAATTGGGCCCATCGAAAACTATCTATAGCCAATGAGATTGACGGTCTACATAAACACCGAGTAAGCACGTGTTCGACTGATACATGCTCTATGCTAATTCCAATAAACATGATAAAATCATAATTATGTACAAATTCGTTGCAATGCGTTTTTTACACTAGCGGGAACTCAAAACATAACTCTTTCTTATTTAAAAATCTTCATTTCAATGTAACTCATGTTGCTTGTCGCGGAAAGTGTACTGTCCTAAAATATTACGCCGAATATTCCTTTCTCCTTTCTAAAGAAATGGGCGTGTCGTTATGCTATAATTGACGTTCAAAACATGACTCAGAACGTTTCGTTCAAATGGAAAATTTTACCACTTCAATGCGCTTCATTGTATACTGTAGAAAATGTTCAATGAAAGGCTGTTTGCCCCCCCCCCCCCAACTTTTTGTGACATAAGACAAAATGTAGTATTGTAGGTTAAAAAAATTGATACTGAAAAAAAGTTGGTATTGAAAAAGTTGGCTGCTATAACCCCCCCCCCCCCCCAACACACACACACACCCTAACACACCCTCCTTCACCCTCTCTCTCACACATACACACACCACGAAATAGGATTTTTGGACTTTGGGAAACTTTTCCTTTTTTTTTTTTTTTTTGCTTGTTAACTTTTTCAGAAGTATTTTTTTTCTCTTGCTCCCCCCCCCCACCTTTCAAAAACTATGCTACGTGGCTGAGGTATCTAACTCCGAATTACCCGGAGTACCCCCCGAATCGCACTCATTTACACTTTCAGAGGAAATATACTGACAAATTATTAATACCTATATTTATCATATTAAAAATATTTATATGATACACTTTAAATATACATTACGAAAGCCTATTAGGATCAATCTAGAGAGAAAAAAATTTAAAAGGCGTTATAACGCCTTTCGAAAAGGCGTAATAACACGAAAAAAGGCGTTATAACCCCTTTCGAAAAGGCGTTATTACGCCTTTCCATTCCAAAAGGCGTTATAACGCCTTTTTAAAAGGTGTTATTACGCATTTCCAAAAGGCGTTATTATGCCTTTCTAAAAGGCGTTATATCGCCTCTCTAAAAGGCGTTATTATGCCTTTCCACACTAAAAGGCGTTATTACGCCTTTCCAAAAGGCGTTATGATGCCTTTCCAAAACGCGATATTACGACTTTCTAAAAAGCGTCATTACGTCTTTCCAAAAGGCGTTATAACGCCTTTTCCGCATTATTACGCCTTTTCGAAAGGCGTTGTAACGCCTTTTATTATTTTTTTCTCTTTAGATTGATCCTAATAGGCTTTCGTAATACATTATATATGTGTAATATTTAATTTATATACTAGTACACTACACTGTATAATAAAAATTGTACTGAAAGTAATCTAATCATAAACAAGAGGCCAGGGGCCACAGCGCTCACCTGAGCACATTGGGTTTGAATTTAACACCACCCTCCCCCCCCCCCCCCCCCCTGGCATTCATCATTTGAACAAACTAGAATCTACACTACCTGAGGATGATTCCATATAAATATCACTAATCATAGCTTTGAAGTACTTGAAAAGAAGATTATATTTCAAATATTTCCGTGAGATATAATAATGCATTGACCTTCAATTCAACACTAAAAATACAGCTCTTTAAAGTATGACTACCTATAAATAGATAAAAACTACTCAGGTATGAGATCTACTGCGCATGCCCCAGGTAAACCCTATATGTTCAATACATACAATCGATGACTTTCAATTCAGCTCGCCAAGTGAGCACACGTGTTTTGTGTTCGAATGGCCAATGCCCAACTTCTTTCGCCGGGTCCGGGACAGGCAACACCGGCACGTCTTGATAGAAATGAACAGGAAAGCTCACCCGCAGAGGCGGAGGAGAGTGATAACAGTAAGGTAGATGAGTCAGAGGACTCTCAAAATGAACATGTCTCGGTAGCAGACAAAACAGAGGACGATTATCGACGGCAGTGGTCGTCAGAGCAAATTCGGAAAAAGAAGAGTAAGTCTGGCGAGGTTTCTAACAGAACACTTTCGCGACCAAAGAAACGTAAAAAGAGCAGGTCCTCTAATGATTCTAGCTCCAGCTCGTCTAGTTCAAGTTCCTCTAGCTCCTCCTCAAGCTCCTCTAGCTCTAGTTCTGAATCAGATTCTGATTCGGGTTTGGTTTTGAGTTCTAATGAAAGCTCTATATCTAAACCAAAAATCTCGAAAAAGATACTTAATTTTGTAAGCAAGTATGCAACAAAAGGCTTAAATAAAAAGAAAAGGCAAAATGTTGCGAAATTTTGTCCAATACCTCATTCGAAAAAGCTTCAGGGTTTATCTTTAGACAGGTTTTTCAAGAAAATTTATTTCAAAGGGAAAAAATGGAACGGTAAATTAGAAAAAAATAAAGTTAACACGCAAATGAGAATTCTTGATGCTTTAGGGCCACTTTCTGTTTTATGGAGCGAGGCAGAGAGAATTAGCAAAACAGGCAAGGGTATGGACCCTTCGGATGTTATTCAGTTTGTTCAGAGAGCAATCATGTTTGTAGGGAATGCTCATTTTCTTTACAATACTGATAGACGTAAAGCGGTCTTAGCTAAAACAATGCCAGAGTCAGTAGATATTATTTCGGATAAGAGGTACAAAAAATCACTGGGTAAATGCAAAAGTGATTTATTTGGGAAACGTTTTCTCAAACAGCTAGCTAAAGATAACAAAGATAACAGAGAATTAAAACAGCTTTTGTCTAACGGTAATGAGAAAAAGGTTTGGTCACAGACAAGACAATTTTCTGATAGAAACCGCCAGTTTTTTCTTCAGAGACCCTCATCAAGCCTCCAGTATGGGGGTCGCAGACAGACAGACAGGAGGCAGTTCAATCAGAATCAGAGATACACTCAGTACCCCCAGTACAGGGGACAGGGGGCGAATCAGAAATATACAGCGCCTCCCAAGAAACCAAACACTCAATGAATCAGGTGAGTTACACACAGATAGAATTATCGGAGATCGATCGGAATCTATCAAAATTTCTGTTCCCAAATACGGTAGATGGCCCCCAGTCAGTGCCTGTAGGGGGGCGTGTACAATTTTTCATTCAGAACTGGAAAGTAATAACACGGGATCCTTGGATCCTACAGTCGATCGAAGGGATAAAACTTCCCCTATTGTCAAATCCTTTTCAGAGGCAAATTCCTGTTCCTTCAAAATTCAAAACAGAGGAACAAATTTTGATAGATGCCGAAATAGAAAACTTAGTGTCAAAACATGCAGTACGGGAGACAACTCCCACGAGCGATTCATTTTACAGCAACGTTTTCTTGGTACCCAAGAAGGGGGGCGAGTTAAGACCTGTAATAAATCTAAGAAATTTAAACAGTTTTCTCCCTTACGAACACTTCAAAATTGAGGGGGTACAGTTGTTGAAAGATCTCATGGAAGAGGGAGATTGGTTAGTAAAACTAGATCTAAAAGACGCGTATTTGACAATAAACGTGGCAGAGGAATTTCGAAAATTTCTGAAATTTTTTTGGAAAAACAAAATTATGGAGTTTACCTCCCTTCCATTCGGAATTGCAATAGCACCGCGAGTGTTTACAAAGATAATGAAAATTCCGATAGCAGTTTTACGTCGTTTGGGTATACGTCTGGTGATTTACCTAGACGACATTCTGATTATGAACCAAACTCTCACAGGAATTCAATCAGATCTATCAACAGCTGTTTACCTCTTAGAAAATCTAGGGTTTTTGATCAATCAGAAAAAATCCGTGTTAGTCCCTTCGCATGTAACGGAATTTCTGGGATTCACTGTAAACTCGGAGACAATGACCCTCTCTCTCCCAAAAGACAAGGTGCTAAAGATAAAACAGAACTGCTTAGATCTTGCGAGTCGTCAGTCTGTCTCAGCGCGAGATCTGGCCCAACTAATAGGGCGTCAACGGCTACAAATCACACACTCACCTCTCCATTACAGAAGTCTCCAGCTACTAAAAACAAGAGCCCTACATACGGGAGGGAGTTACGATCATTATGTACAATTAGACGAGGATTCGAAACAAGAACTAATATGGTGGTCGACAAAACTAAGCGTATGGAATGGGAGAGCCTTAGTACGTCCCCACCCTTACCAAACTGATATGTTTGCTGCAGGCCTGCAGCAAGTCTGCTGCAAGCTTGCAGCAAACAAAATTGTTCGCAGGAAGAAAATTTTCTTGTTCGCAGATGATTGCTGCTAGCTGCGATCTTGCGGCAAACATTGCAGCAATTTCTGCAAGCTTACAGCAAATTCGCAGGAACCCAATATGTTTGCAGGAACATTGCAAGAAACATACACACCAATTTGATGTTCGCAGCAAGTTCGCAGGAAACTTTTCACTATTCAAATGTTTGCAGGAAGTTCGCAAGAACAGTAAACAAGTCAAATCAGCCAATGAAACGCAGATTGTGCTGGGTCAACACAAAACTGGCCATTTTGAAATGTTGGAATTGAAGTTGTACACTTTTCAGTCTTTTGATAGGAATATACATCGTTTTGAATGATTAAAAGTCCCAAACTCTGGATGTAGGTGTTCATTCTATCAATGATATCTAATTGGTAAGAAATGATTTTGATTTATTTTGATATTTGAAAGAATATTTCTTAAAAGCACGTTTGAGTAACTGCATGGAGTAAATGCTAGGTCAAATCTATATCTGTTTCTTATGAATTTCAGTCCTCTTTTTGAAATCACATATGTATACTTCTTAAAAGTATTAATGGACCCAAATCAGTTAAATGTAATCAAATTAATTAGTAAATGTGTAATCACAAAAATATTCATTAAAAATAATATGTAAAGTTCTTGAAGTTCTGTTCATATAAAAAGCTATCATGCACTTAAATTTTAAAAAGGTATGAAAACTATGCCTAGGAACGTAAAGAGGGCCAAACATAACTTCATAAAACTGCATCATTTCAGAAAAAAGTGTTGAATTTTCTCTAAACTTAACAGATTTAGGTCAGGACAAAGGCTTTCTGTGAACTTGCTGCTTGAACAAAGGAATGTGCCAATTAAAACCATAAGGAAATTGTTTGCTGCAAGTTAGCAGCAATGTTTGCTGCAAGCTTGCAGCAATGTTTGCCGCAAGCTTGCAGCAATGTTTGCGGCAGGCTTGCAGCAATGTTTGCCGCAAGCTTGCAGCAAGGTTTCCTTATTTGGAAAATCCAATGTTTGCTGCAGACTTGCAGCAAACCTCATTTGCATGGTAAAATGTTTGCAGCAAGCTTGCTGCAGACTTGCCGCTAACTTGCTGCAAACACCAAGGCTTTGTATAGACTGTCATGCTTTCTTTGGCTACATTGCCGCAAACTTGCAGCAATGTCTGCTGCAAGCTTGCAGCAATGTTTGCTGCAGACTTGCAGCAAATATTTGCAGGAAGGCAATATTTTCCGTAAGGGCAGCCAAACATAATAGTCAAATCAGATGCAAGTCTGCTAGGATGGGGTGCAATTTGTCAGAATACAAAAACGGGCGGTCTTTGGTTACAGAACGAAAAGGGGCAGCACATAAACGTATTAGAAAAAGAAATTTAAACAGTTTTCTCCCTTACGAACACTTCAAAATTGAGGGGGTACAGTTGTTGAAAGATCTCATGGAAGAGGGAGATTGGTTAGTAAAACTAGATCTAAAAGACGCGTATTTGACAATAAACGTGGCAGAGGAATTTCGAAAATTTCTGAAATTTTTTTGGAAAAACAAAATTATGGAGTTTACCTCCCTTCCATTCGGAATTGCAATAGCACCGCGAGTGTTTACAAAGATAATGAAAATTCCGATAGCAGTTTTACGTCGTTTGGGTATACGTCTGGTGATTTACCTAGACGACATTCTGATTATGAACCAAACTCTCACAGGAATTCAATCAGATCTATCAACAGCTGTTTACCTCTTAGAAAATCTAGGGTTTTTGATCAATCAGAAAAAATCCGTGTTAGTCCCTTCGCATGTAACGGAATTTCTGGGATTCACTGTAAACTCGGAGACAATGACCCTCTCTCTCCCAAAAGACAAGGTGCTAAAGATAAAACAGAACTGCTTAGATCTTGCGAGTCGTCAGTCTGTCTCAG